CCAATGCTAAGATCAATGTGGAATGGTGACTTCTCAGTTGTGAAATTTTTTCTGTAGCTACTGAAAATTCTTTACATACTGAGTAAGGATTCCCTCGCTCTCCACTGACTCTATGACCGCTTCCATTTCAGCTGAGTCGAAGGCTTTTCTTAAATCGATGAAATACAACCAGGGCGGTTTCTTGTACTTTCTCGATATTTCAATGAGTCATGCTGTCGTGTTGACGTGTTTCATCGTATTGAAACCTTTTCGAGACTCTGCTTGTCGCCTGATTGTCCTTCATCCAGTGTTCTGTCCATGCTGTTCAACATGAAACGAGTGAAAAGTTTATGGAAAGTAGGCGACAGCAACAAGATTGGTCGATAGATGCCGATATCGTGAAAGTTACTTCTACTGCCTGAACAATAGCACAGTCTTGCTGGTCTTCCATTGAAAAAAAAAATCTTGCATTCTGACAGGTAACATATGCAGAGCCGAACTATTTTGTTTGCGAGAACAAGCGAAGGGCTATTCAGGTGTTTACATCTTATCTTTTCCAGATCGAGTGCTGTATGATTCTTCACAAAAAAATAGCATGTCAGATTTCGGAAGGTGGCACGACATATTCATCCTTCTTCATTTCACATGACGTGGACGTGGTCACAGAAGTACGTGGCCACTGAAGAGATTCCAATAGTAGACTTCATCTTCGACATCGGTACTCCACTGAATCGTGCTATAGAGTCGGTATCGTCTATCGCGCTGAATCCTTTTCGAAACCCTGCTACCTTACTTAGCCGTCCTTCGCTCAGTGTTGTGCCATTCCTGTTTAGGATAGCTGGAGTAAAAAGTTTGTAGACGATATACAGCAAGCAGGTTGGGCGATAGGTGCCGATGTCGTGGAGGTTACCCTTCCTTGAACAATAAGACGGTCTTGCCGGCTTTAAATTTAGTAGGTACCTTGCATTCAGAGAGGTAACGTGTGAAAAGCCGAGCCAGTGTGTTTACGAGGACTGGCGGAACGTTTTTTAGGTATTCAGATCTTATCCTGTTCAAACCCGGTGCTCTTCGTTTTTTATCAACGAAATGGCATCTTGCACTTCGGAGGAGACAACTGGTGGTATGACATACTCATCCTCCTATATTTGGCATAAGGAAAGCAGGACGTGGCTATTGAAGAGTTCTGAATAGTAACCTTGAGCGGTTTTCTTCATTCATTTTCTGGACGCTGTAACTATTCGGTCTGGGCGTCCTACTGCAATCATCTTGGCTTTTCCATTGGTGCAGCTTCGGCGGGCTTTGCGAATGCTTTTCCCTGCCTCTTCAGCATCGACAATTGCTGCTGCTATTCTTTCTTAAACATCTTCTTTTATCGCCTGTCTGCAATGTTTTGCGAGTTTGGACGTTAGTTCGCAGTTGCATTCATCTGGAGCGTTTCCACGCTGGCGTATCAGCTCGAGTGTTTCTGGAGACAAACGTATCTTAGTGACTTTCGGACTCTCGGCTTTCATAGCGCTAACGTGAAGTTGCTGAATGAGCCTATCGCATTCTTCGCCGAAGTTATCGACAACGGCATCTTCTCAACAGCCGACTAGTGAATTGAATAAGTCCCCGTTTGCGGTGGTTCTGAGACTTCAGTTTTGAAATTTAGCGGCTTTTTCTCCTTTTCGGGAAAAGTAGAATCTTGCACAAAGGAGACGATGGTTTGATCTCGTGTAGAACTTTAGGACAACAGCAACATCCGTTAGGCAAAATCTTCGATTTCACTATGATGTGGTCTATTTCGTTATGGTACACTCCACTGGAGGATTCCCATATCCAGAGTTGAGGGTGGGGCATCTGGAATTTCGAGTTACCATGGATGGTCTTGTTCGTCATGGTAAACTCAGTCAGCCGCTCTCCCTACTTGTTCAGTTCTATTTCTCTAAGTTCTAATGTGACCTTCTTCAAAAGTTCCTATTTCAATCTCAACGTTAAATCTTCAATGATAACCTTGAAGAATGTATGGTCTTCTCTGTAAAACTTCTCCAAGTCCATATAGAACTCTTCTACTTTTTCTTCGTCATGGTTTAATGTCGGTGCGTAGACGACGAAAATTGTCAAAGCCGGCATCGTTCCACATCTCCTCAACCGTAAAAGTCCGGTTGGAGTTGTTAGTTGTTCGAATGTACCAATGTTCTTGGGAAAACTCGTGTTGACGAGATTACCGTCTCCGCTGACTTCTTTACTGTCGCATATTCTGAGGAACAGTTCTTCTTCGGTGTAGTAGACGGCGTTGATTGGGTTGCGCCCTCTTGTCTCAGTCGGTCCTATGTCGTCGTACCCTATTCTTTTTGCCTACATGATCAAATACTCTATCGAGGTTGCAGAGCCAAGTGGGCTTGAACTGAAGATGTAATTCTTCACCTTAGCCCCTACACATTTGGACAGCCAAGAATGTTCCTGAAATTTTATCAGCCTTCCCTCATTCGTCTGTCCAATGCTGCCAAAGCTCTTTCTCTGAGAAGTAATACCCACTTTTTTCTGTGTTTGGCTTTCACACCCACATAGAGCTTTCCAAGCTTCGCGTGTGGGCGGTGTGCGCACCCATGGTTACCTTCCCACTCTCTCACAGAATAAACAAAGAGCGCCTCCCATTCGCTTTCTGTGTACTTCACTGTCGCTTGATTACAAGCTTTTGACCGATTTCACTTGTAGAATACAACCCGCATAAACAAGAATATGCCAACTCACGCATATATGAATACGTCCTCGCAATTACATGCCAAATTGGCGCACTAAGAGTGGGAACTCCATCTCTTGAATCAACTTGCGCCTCAGCGAAGCAAATGCTCACTTTTGATTCGTGATTAACCCGCTACCTGCCACCTGCGGTCGCGCCAAGTTGCTGCGCGAGTGCATGAGATCACCCTCCATGAGGGAGATCCGTGGTTGTCTTCAAGAATTGCAGCAATTTTTTTTGTGCTGTTAGTTTACCTTGGGCAGAAGTAGAAAGTAAAACTGTAAAACTCTTTCTCAACTTTAATCACCTTGCTGAGTCTTCCGTATGCCGTGTTCTAAAGCGACGCAACTCTTTCCTACAGCAGTGGGGCTTAAATTATAACGAGAGAAACATTAAAGGCAAAAACGAAATCCGACCAGACATATGTTGCCATGAGGTAAAGGTTGCACTGTTTTAGTGAACTCATGGAAATCCATAAAATTCCACAGAATTCCTGCTTTAATTCAGCACAAATCTGTAAGAATGATATCATCCTGAAATCTTGCTATTTTCAGGCTAGAGGTGGTGACACTTTTTTTTAACAAGCTAGTTCTTTCATACTACTGAACAGGGTAAGAATCTCTTGGAAAAGCCTTCTAAATGAACTTTTTGTAACGTGAACACTTTTCTAAAACATTCGATGGAATGATTCCAAACACCGCTTAGTAATGTTAGCAATGAGAGTGGCAGCTCTTTTAAGATGGAATGCAGAAACTCTGTGTTCAACTACACTTTTTCGAGAAATCCTTTGCCAATCTGGTAAGGTTTAGTTCATCACATCTAAATTGGAGTTTCAACATATGGCCCCTACTGTTTCATCATATCTTCGCATCTTCATTTTCACTTAAGAAAAGTTTGTGGGCTTTTTACGTTATTGAGCTGACGCGAGCTTAGTACAAAAGCTTTTATTTGGCTAACATTTCGGCACTTCCGCCTTCCTCAGAGCCCGCACTGATCCGAGTAGTTCGTCCACAGCTGGTTGTTTTCGCGATATGGGTGTTCCTTGTCGCATCGAGTCGAATCCAATGGAATGGTAGCATCGCTCAGCTTCATAACGTAAAAGATGGATTTCGTTCATTTAACGTCATCGAGCATGAGTTGCATACAGCAAACTCGGTACCAACTGCTAAACGACATCCATCTTGTATAAAAGGGCACCGACGAGTGAATTTCTTCATTTCAGCGGTGCTCCCTTCCGACTCTGTGACCAAAAACATCCACATCACGAGAACGACAAGTTGCTAGCCATCAAGCTCCGACCAATGCGACTTTTAAAAAGGCGAAGGTGCCGAAACGTTAGCCGAATAAAAGTTTTTTGTGAGAACCTCGTGTAAGCACAATAATGTAGAAAATTGTTGATTATTGTTACCGAAGTTTAATGGAAGTCGATTTCTAAGTTATGTAGATGACTATTTCGTCATCTGTTTCACCCAGGAAGAGATGAATAAATGTTTTGAGACGTTAAATTAACAATCGGAGTGCATGAAATCTATCAGTGCGAAATATGACTACATTATCAAGTGGCACTGAAATACAGTTAGCAAAAACGTACTTGTTCATTACTTCTCCTGTCATCCTTCACATATAAGAAGAACACTTGTGAGAAATGTGTTTCGAACAGCTGTTAGTTCGCGCCCGAGGAAACGGCAGAAGGAGAAACGTCTAAACTTAGCGCAGAAAATGGCCATTTCAAATGGATGAGAAGGTATAACCTGTTGAAAATAGGTTTAGAAAAAAAATTACGCTTTTAAACGACAATTCTAGCAGGTTCCCTTTCTTCTGCCCTTCTTTTCAGACTAGACATGCGCAACTATAAAACGCTGTTTAAGACGCGCCGGTGTAGAGAATTTGGTAGCAGTGATTGAAATTTTACCGAACACTCTCAAACGTCAGCTAATTGGTAACTGTTGGTATGACTGTCTACGTCAAACCCAAAATTGCTTAGATGACCGAAAGGCAGAGGCATTAAGTGTATAAGTTCGGGTCCGGTTATCTGATCTTCTGTAAGGTGTACCGTGACGAATATATTGGCGAAACATGTAAACTGCTCTGCGTCCTTACTAAAGAGCATCTAGACAGTAAGCAAAAACATAAACAAATACTTCCTTTGGGAAGTATGGAGTACAGAAACACAATGGCGAAGATTTTGAAGAATGAGTACACGTTGTTCACTGTGCTTCCATTTTTCGAGCCCTTTTTCGCAAATTGGGTCCCTAACCGTTCGTATTAAACCCGTCTGTATTCTAAATTTTTATAGAAAATGTCCACAAATCTTACTGAAACTGCAATCGATAAGAATTCACAAGGACCTCACAGCTCACTGATCGTTGGTACTGTGTATATAATTTTTCCACTTTTCCTGCTATCCGTCTATTCCATTTTCAACATGGTAGGTGTGCAACTGTTTTTTCACTGAAACAGATAATCTGACAAAAAATTATTCACAAAGGTTTCCACATAGTTCTTACATTTTTTAGACCATACATGCAAGCGACGAATACCGCAAACTCCAAGCATTTCGCTTCATGTTTTACATTGGAATTCTCGACTGTGTTCAACTGACCGGTCACATCTTTGGTGGAATTATCACTATATGGCCGATTATCGATCTTAATTTTCCATATCTTAATCGAGTTAGGAATTTTAATACTGCTGTTTAACGCTTTAATATAACGCACTTTCCAAAAAGAGTTGTGTGGACCGAATATTTCTTCACATGAACTTTGCATTGTTCAGCTTACACGAGGTTGTTATACAACTTTTACTCGTGGACGTTTCGACGTATTCGCCTACCTCAGAGCCAATATTCCAGTGAAGAAGATTCGACTTAAAAGAACGACGACTACACCACATCGAGAAAACGTCCGACTGTGGGTATCTACTTGGATTACCAACTTAGAGGAAGACGAAGACATCGAAATGTTAACCGAATAAAAGTTGCACAACAGCCTCATATAAGCTGATCAATCTAGTGGAATTTATTGATCATTCACGCCGAGGTTGAGTGAAAGTGGTTTAATGCAGTATTTTCTGTATAACTAGTACGTCGTCGATTTGGCAAGCGCCAAGATCCTTAGATCCTCGGGAAGCCAGCGCCACGGCAGCGCGAGATTTCTGCCCGTAAACTATCAATTGTTTTGTGTGTGTGTGTGTGTGTGTGTGTGTGTGTGTGTGTGTGTGTGTGTGTGTGTGTGTGTGTGTGTGTGTGTGTGTGTGTGTGTGTGTGTTTGTGTGTGTGTGTGTGTGTGTGTGTGTGTGTGTATGTATCGGACGAAGATATGCCATATCAGAATCTTTTTCCAAACCCTTAAACAATTCACGGAAAACAATCATAGGTTCGTATTTCTCCATGAATACCACTTTTCACGATGTTCGATAATCCTTCATTAACAGGCGCTACAGAGGTCTCGAGAATTTTTAGTTTTACCACTGCTATTCTTCCTACAACTCTTTGCCTTACCGTATTTTTAAGGTGTTTCTGGTGATACGAGTGACCATTATTGCCAATGTCAATGTTTCAGGTAATCGGAGCCATTATAAACTCAGGATGTGTGGGTTTATTTCCATTATCATTCGTAACAGCTCTATATCGTCTATTGGTAATCCGAAAACTAGCTCATCCAAAGTCAAGATTTTTACTGCTGGTGAAGGTAAGAAAGAAATTACAGAGAAAAACAAACAGGAAACTACTTTTTAAATGATAATGATGGTCACTCCGGACAAAGCAAGGTATTCTTTGCCATTGCTTGGCATATTCAATAACTCCTGGAATAAAACTTACTGAGAGTTTCTCGGACATGTGTAAAGTAGGACGTGGGTGCATAGTTGGATCTCCATAATAACATTTAGGATTCTTTCTATTTTGAACTAATATCTGCTGGCGAAGTCTAGTAAACTTTGCCACTGAAACCATGCACCACTTTTCCTGAGTTCTGTTAAGGCTCAATTGAATTAATAGGAGCCTGGAAGTGATTGAGAAGACAAATCTGAAATTTCTGTGAGCACGAGATCATAAGAGAAGAAAGAACAAAACTTTTGGCGTTGATCCCTGAGGAGTACGCTGTACGTTCTGTCAATTCGCAATATTATAGAGGCCAGCCAGTTGAAATACGACTTATACATTAGTATTCGGTGGCCTGCCGATGTTTCAGGTCAAAGGTCAAAGTTTTCACCCTTATAGACAAGTATTGTACCAATTTGCCAACCTTAAAGGAAAAAAAGTTTTGCTCATCGTATGGAGACCGATCGGACCAAACACTGATCCACTGTGTATTGTTGGGCATGTCTAATCACTGCGCGACATGGATCGTCGAATTCTTATAAAGGCATAAGGCTATCGGTTATTCATGAACGAAGAGATAAGGGATAAACGTATTTACCTAAGTGCAGATAAACTTTTTTTATGAGTGTGACGCAATTTGTTTGGTTTTCGGTCTTTTACGATAGTAATCAGTGAAGTAGTCGAGATAGTGCGCTCGTTCGGCTGAGACTGTGAGATCGTCATCTACCCTTTTGGCGAAAAATTTCAGTCTGCGTCAACTATAACTTTTTCTGGAATACTCAAGTCATCATGCTTATTCTAAGGCTTTCATTGCAAGCATCGCTTCTGCCCTGGCTTAGAAGATGATTCGCTACTTTTCCAATGGAACTCGTCCAGAACGGAAGTGACTTTCAGTCGAATGAACGATGGAGGGCAGTCTACTGAGTTAAACGAGCCAAGAAAACGACGCTAACATAATATTAATAGATAGGCGTGATATCATAATTGCATAAATGGAAAATTTCAGGGTGGTATGTTGTTGTCATTCGTGTATTGTTTTGCATTTTTTATATGCCTCCTCAGCTTTTCAGGATTTGTATACGATCCAAAAAGGTAAATCTTAGATTTTTTTTGTTAACAGAGGCTCTGTTAATAGCCTTCCCTGTTAGACCATTTTTCAGTCAGCGTTTACTGTGCTTTAAATATTTTAGTTGGGCTTGGGATTATACGAACTCCTCGATAATGTCGCATCTGGAGTTCATAATCTCTATGCCACTCCTTTTCTTCACCTTCATCATCTACATAGCGATTTCCGTCACCGTATATAGAGTTCGTTTGCTCACATATGATATAACACTAATTTGTTTTAACACCTTTATTTACTGCCTATTCTTTTTAACGGCACGATATGTTGCGAAATATAACTTCTATAATGCTGAGATACTTGCAAAACTCCGGTCTGCAGGTGTCTGCGGTGGGGAACGAACGCGCTATTGTCCTTTCCGGGAGCTAATACGTTCACCACCACACCATGCGGGTACTTCGTTTCGCCTGTCTCTCAGCTAGCTCTATCTATCATTAGTATTATTGGTGGTAAGTTAACGAAATACTGCTTTAGTGGGCGCACTTTCAGATGAAAAAGGGATTAAAGACGATGCATAAGACTGAGCTACAGATGATCACTCACGCTGCAATTCTATTCATGGTGTTGACTAGTTTGATGACCTTCTGGCATTATCACGAGCTTTTCTTTCCGGATTCGAAATGGACGACGTTTGCGACTAACCTGTATTGGGTGACGTATTGCGGGCTGAATCCACTCTTATATTTGGCATGTTCGAGGTGAGTCGGTTACTGTAACAGGGAAACTTTTCAAAATCACTCAATTACTTTCCGATACTTTCATCTTAAGATGTTTTTCATTGAAATCGACAGACTTTTTTATATTCGATTAAGCTGAAACGTAGAAAAACAAGTCTAAGCATTTTTATTCGTTTAGACAGTCAATGACACTACATAGCAACCTAAATTTTCTACAGTTTCTTTGTAATAAAGAGAATAATAAGCTTTTACGCTTTTTTTGCACAGTTTTGAAGTAATCACTGCGTGATTTCGCCTGTTCAAACTGATATGTCAGATATGAGGTTACAACAGAATTCCTCCTTTTTTTAGGAAAATCCGCCTTTCGTTTCTACAGTTCATTGGTATGACCTCATCGGAAAAGAGCACCACCGTTGTTACACCGATGTTCTTCACGGGGCAGACACCGATGTTTGCCAGGAGGCAAATACGTTGAGCGTTGTGGCCTCTGGATAGCCACGGTTTGGTGTCGATGGCAGTTTTGATGTCTAATCTTCAAATGTTTTAAATACATAGTGTTGAATTGCATCAAAGAGAATACCATAATCAGCGGTCACTTACCGTTTTTTTTTTCTGATTGTGGATAACGTGCGACATCTGTCCATTTCTCCTTGGGACAATAAACGATTGTGAATATTTCCACGACCGACTTTCTATTAACCTCGGCATTGATCAAATAAATCTTTACATTCCTGTTGAGCAAACGAGGGTGTTTTTTATTCTTTATTCGAGACCGAGTTGACGTTTCGGCGGATTTCGCTTTCCTCAGAACCTGGAAAGGTCAAGATGACCGCAGTCTACCTTGGTTAACTCTATAACCTAGCAGAGAAAATGCTAAACCAAGAATTCAATGACGTTGAAAACAGAATGGTTTCCTCTCATACTCACCACTTTCTATGAGCCTTCTACTGATTATGAGAAAGGCAAAATCCGCGGAAGCGTTAGTTTCATTGCAATAAAGAACAAAATAACGTAGGCTCGCATGTAGTTAGCATGAACTTCAAAACAGACTCCATGAAAAAGCTAGAGATGAAAAGCAAAATGGAAGCGAACAACAGGAAATAGGGGTATTACCACCACCACCATTTCCTCAACCGTTCTTTACACAACAAGACCCTAACAATTAAGTCGAAATCAAGATTCGGATATTAACGAACGAGCCATTCAGTAACCTTAATCACTAACGCGCGAAAAGATAGAGCTCCATTCTCACTAAAGTGTAAAAACGTGGCATGCGCAAGGCATGAGGTTAAGATTGTTCATTTCATTAGCCATCATCTGAGAAGAAGTGTAAAAGCAGATGCCAAAAATTGAACCACGAATGGGTCAAAATGGCGGGGCTGCTGGTTTAAAACCACCAGTTATCTCTCAACTAAAAATTGATTTGCCAACATGTCTCGTCTTGTACTTGCTTATAAATTTTATAAGTAAGTATTCAGCGGTGATTTTGCCTTTACCGATCCATCATTGTGTAAAGTTAGACCTATCATTAGCTGTGTAGATGGGCCAACGGATAGGATCACGGAGCTTTTAGCTCTAATATTTATCCAGTTCCTAAAACAGAGGCTAGCCCATCTTACGAATACCCAGATGTTTCTGGATCATCTACGTACGGCGCAGCCTAACAGCGCGTGCGTTATGGAGTCCTTCGAAGTTACCGCCCTTTATACAAACGTGTCGAATGGCTCCGCTATGCAAGCCATATTCGAGCTCCTTTTACACTACAAGAGAAAGCAAACATGTATAGCTTTATGATACAGCAGTTGATGGCGCTTTTAAAAGAATGCCTGAGCTGCTCAATCTTCAGATGCTCTGGAGAGTACTACGCCCAAATGAGAGGGTTGGCAACGGAGCAGTGACTGGCGCCAAGCCTTCCCATTGCATTTATGTCTAAGGTGGAAGCACCAGTAATCGATCTCTGGCCGTTACTCCACTGTAGATATATAGATGACTCCCAAGTCTGACTTTCTATTAACCTCGGCATTGATTGAATAATTCTTTCTACTTCCGTTCAGCAAACACAAGGTGCTACTTTATTTCTTTATTTACGTACAAGCTGACGTTTCGGCGGATTTCGGCTTCCTCAGAGCCTGGAAAGGTCAAGTTGACAGCAACCTATTTTGCCAAACAACTCCATAACCAAACAGAGAAAACGCTAAACTAAGGTTTCAATCACATTTAACACAGCTCTGCAAAGTCACCGCTTTCTATGAGTCTTCCACTGAGTATGTCGTGTGAAGTCATCTGCCACTCCATCAGAATAACAAGTTTATATACTGTCTAATATCACACGTGATAATGAGGCATTCCTCTGAAGAAGGCGAAACCGCCGAAACGTCAGCAATTGTGTTCTAATAAATTCTATATTAACAACCTCGTGTCTGCTTATTGATGAAAAACATTGAATTATCAAGATGTTTTTACTGCTTGGCTTTCGGTACCACTTCGTAATGTAGCCGTTTTCCGATAGGTTTAAATGCACGTTCAGAAATGGAAGCCAGTTTTCTTCCGGTTTCTCTCGGGTGAATTTAATATACTCTAACTGGTTTGTTCAGCAGCTCAAAACATCTGCCAATTTTTTTTCTGTTGAACAAATGACCAAGCATCTCTTAATAACTCGAAAGACCGACTTTCTATGAACCTCGGCATAGATAGTTGAGATATTTATTTATGTGATCTTATAAACTGATCTTCTCAAGCTGACGCGAGGTTGGTACAGATCTTCGTTGTCGTTGTCGTTGCCGTTCTTTTTGATGTTATTGAACGATGGCTGACGTTTCGGCGACTTCGCCTTACAGAGCCTGGACGTACTTTATGTTAGAATACTTTTTATTATTCGGTGGAAAAGAAGGTTAAAGTATTAATGAAGATCAAACTTTTAAATAGACGCCATATTGAACAGAAAGGCCACTCACCGTGATGTTATGTGCGGGACTGGCCGACACGTAGTTTACGCGAGCAAGGCACGCCCCGGGGTCAAAATATCATTTTGAAATAGGGCGCCAGGTCACGCGTGATAGTGAGGCGTTCGTCCTTCCGGTTCATCTTTGGATTTTTTTTTCTTAAGCACTTTTTAATGGCGTGACTTACTTCATTTGATATGAAGGGCAGCTTAAAGGGAATCTTATTTTCGTCTGAAATATTATTTTGGGGAACTACCCAGTGTTTTCCTCTAACCCGAGTGGCTTCTACTTCGTAGCCATTGGAAATGGCAATTTTTCGTGCCAGGTTTCGCGATTCCTTCCTTTCCTCTTCTCCTGTGCACACATTTTTAGCCGTACGATACATATTTTTGATAAGTGCTTTTTTCATGTGTGAAGGATGAGAGGAGAGGCAGTGGAGTAGAATGTTTTTACTACTTGGCTTGCGATACCATTTTGTTACGTAGCCACTTGCTGAGAGCTTTATTTGGATGTTTAAGAATGGAAGCCAATTCTCGGTAGGTTTTTCTCGTGTAAATTTTATATACTCGGACTGTCGGTTTAATAATTCAAAGCACTCATCCATCTGTTTTTGTGTGGAACAGACGATGAAGAAGTCGTCTATGTAACGACAGTAGAGTAAGGGTCGGTGATCGAGAACTGGAGCTTCCACCTTAGACGTGAAAGCGATAGCAAGGCTTGGTGCTAAACGATGCCCCATCGCCAACCCTCTAACTTGTGTAAAATATTTTCGAGACCACGAAGATCGAACAATTAAGGCATTATTTTAAGAGAGTCATTAGTTGCGTAATCGAGAAGCCGTACATTTTTATTTTCTTTTCATACTCTACGAGCAACTCGAGAATGGCTTGCATTGCGGAGTCATTGGACAGGGTATAAAGTGAACTGACATCGAATGACTCCATTATATGCGTGCTGTTTGGTTGCGCGCGCCTTAGGTGATCTAGAAATATTTTGGTGTTTGGTAGATGGGTTGGAATGAATTTTAGCAGCTGGGTTAGGATAAGGTTTAGGAACCACGTTATTCTATCCGTTGGCCCGCCTATACAACTGATGATAGGTCTAACTTTATATGATGATGGGTTCGTTGATGTAATATCATCACGCTGACCCATTGGTTGTTTAGTTTTCGGTATTGACTTTTATATTCCTTTTCAGAGGATGGGCGATAGAGAGTAGCATCACTAAGATGTTCCTCTGTTATCTCAACATCCAGCTGGCGAGGGATAACTACGAACTCTCCCCCCTTATCACTAACAGACAATCTTATTGTTTTCGAGTTTATTAATTCTCATTTCCCGCTTGCCACATTTTTGTGCGGCTGTAAGGTTAGAAATAAACTTTCTATAGCGGTAGTGACCAAGGGTCTTGAGAACGCCGTCCGAAAACACGCGGAATTTTATGTCAACTCCATCGTTAGGGTCCTGCTGTCTAAAGAACGTTTTTGGGAACGGAGATGGTGGTAGTGTCGCCGCCTCTTGATTTTTATCCCTATTTGATGTTTCTTGCTTGGCCTGATAGCGGAGTCGATCTTGAAGCTCATAAAGGTTGCATGCTATCCTACACAGGGTCATTTTAGAAATGGGCTGTGATGGTGCAAAACTAGAGCCCAATTCTAATAGCGACCGCGCATTCTCAGGTATTGTTATGCTCCCAATCACGGTGACCCTAGATTTTCTTGGGTTTCTTCTTCATTGGAAGTCATGTAAAAAGCGGTGAGTTTCTCGAGAAGCTGTTGATCATGCAATTACCATAGAGTTTTTCGTCTTTTTGTAAGTGTTACTGAAGCATTTGGCCTACTAGATTGCATATCAGTATTCCATTCCAGGCTCTGAAGAAGGCGATAATGCCGAAAACGTCAGCCAGTGTTGTATCGCATTGTGTTTCTCTATGGAAGTAAATGTATGCTATACCTTTTTATTTTCTGCCTACTATGATTTCGCGGCAGGGTACTAAGCGAAATACAACCACATCGTTGCTGAGATATTTGCAAAACTCTGGACCGCAGTGTCTATGGTGGAGAACGAACGCGCTATTGTCCTTTCCGGGGAGTAATGCGTTCACCACCACAACATGCGAGTCCTTTGTTTCGCTTGTCTCTCAGCTATTTCTGTCGATCTTTGCCACAAATAAAAAGGTATAACATTGTGATTTCAACTACAGCCGCAGCTTAACTGGGTTCTATGCCGATTTGGGCGCCCTAGATCAATCCCGCTGACAGGTGATTGCTGTGGCAAAGATCGACAGAAATAGCTGAGAGACAGGCGAAGCAAAGGACCTGCATGATGTGGTGGTGAAGGCGTTACTCCCCGGAAGGGACGATAGCGCATTCGTTTCCCACCATAGACACCTGCGGTCCAGAGTTTTGTAAATGTATGCTGTTTAAAAACCTCGCAAATGCTGAACAACGAAACGATGCTCATAAAGGCTTTGAATTTGGAAGGACGCCCGGTGAATGCAATCATAGGATGGAGCTCAGCATATAATACTATGTCACGAAAAAATATATACAGCCAGTCTCGATAGCCTAGTATGAAAGCCAAAATGGACGACATGGAAGCAGAACTAGACATTGTAACTGGATAGGCTAAGATCTTCTCCATCATTTCACGGCCGAAAACCCAGACAGTTTGAAGCTACGCTAGAGCAGAGCACTAAATATGGCTAGTTTCTAGCTAAAAGCAATCGATAGAAGGTCATTAAGCCAAAAGCAAGATGCTTTTCGTCTTACCTAGAAAATTATGGCCTGACCAATAACTCCCATACAAAACTGCGACGAGCAAACAACAAGTATATTGTAGCAGTCTGTGAGCAAAGAGCGGTAATTTTTTTTATTTTGTCATTGTGAAAAAACAACAAAATATTGCGCAGCTAAGATAGTAGGCCAGAAATGTTATTCATATTACACCAGTATCCTGCCTTAATAATACAATAGATGTCAACCCTTTAATCAATGCGGTTGTTGATTTTCATCAGCGCCAACGACCATTTTCCTCTCTTGAACTGCATAGCTGTCGTCAATGGCCGGGAAGAAAGCACCGATCATTCTGAAAATGATGACTGGAGATTTCTTCAGCCGTACTATTTTAAATTATTCGTTATGTCACTTCTAGTCATTCTTACAATCGACTTAGACGGATTCAACACTCAAAAAGTCAATTTGCACAATAAGCGTTGACTTCTGAAAGAAATCGAAGAGAATCATTACTCTCCTCCAGTACTCACTTACTTTTTGTCTTTTTCCTCTCAGCAGTTCCCATCTGATCTGTAACCTTTACCTTTCATTTACTGTCGAATTAATAGCGATTCATTCATAAATACATAAACACCCAATCCATCCCAAATACAATAACACGCGAAATCACTGTTCAGTTCTTCAATAAAGACTGGTTAAATCGATTGTTGTTGTTGCCGTTTCTTAGTTCTTGTTATCGTCGCTAATGCTTCACTAATGAAACCAATCTAATTGCTTCTTAGCAAAATAACCGCATTGGAAAACGCCGAAAAATCTCCGTTCAGGTGACGATTGGATCCGTCACGTTGTCTACTTACTGGATTGGTATCATTGGCGAAATCTTCATCGGCCGCAATGGCGGTGTGTTCAGCGAATTTTTGATAATGATGTCTCCTTCGTGAATTTTCTTTTGCAACTTGAATCTGGAATGTTTCTTATTATTATGAACGGTGAAACATTTCCTGGATAGTCTAAGACGAGCAGAGGCCAAACACGTTAGGGGTCATAGCACGCGTTATGTGGTACGGTGCAATATGTTGGGTAAGTCTACTAGCAATGGTTCTTGGTTTGATTTTGATGCCAGAGAGACATGCTGTATTCGTGATAACGCTGATTTCACATTCTAAATTTTGCCTAATATAAAAGCATTGATGTGGTTGCATACATCATTGACGTCGTCGAAAGTCTTTGTTGAGTTAAGCACATTATGGAAGCGAGTAGTTCTTTTTCACCTCACAGTAGCTTAACTAAGTAGACAAGACAAATAGGAGAAGCTATTACTGCTATAATGCTGAGATATTTGCAAAACTCCGGACTGCAGGTGTCTGCGGTGGGGAACGAACGCGCTAAGGTCCTTTCCGGAGAAAAACGCGTTCACCACTACATCATGCGGTTCTTTCGTTCTGCCTATCTCTCAGCTAGTTTTATCGATCTTTTGCCATCAGCAATCACCCGTCAACGGGATTGATCCAGACTCCCCGGCTAAAATGGTTAAGAAAAGATATTGCTTTTCAAAGTCTACGGATTCGATTTGATGTGATCAACCACTTAACTGAATAAGATAGATTTTAAGTACAGTAAAGAACAAAGGAAATAAAAAATAAGATATGTTAGTACTAAATAAAAGTTAAAAAAGTTTTCGCTTAACCTCGTCGTAAACAACCAATGCATCTTTGAGTTGTTAAGGCGACAATATTTTTTTATCTATTAATTCAGAGCATTACAGCACCCATACGTGTACGATTTTAAGCATTAACATTTTTTTTACCTCAAATGTTGATTTCGAAAACATTTTTTAGTCCTGGAACGAAATGGATAAAAGGCCAAATAATCCTACTAGGAAAGCTCTGAGGAAGGCGAAATCCGCCGAAACGTCAGCTTGTTCGTCAATAAAGAATAAAACAACACTTCGCGTTTGCTCAACAAAAATACGAGGAATTACTTGATCAATGCCGAGGTTAATAGAAAGTCGGTCGTGGGATTAATTACGAGACGTACCAGCACGATACTTCCGGCTTGCAAAAGGAGCGCTGTCACTAAGACAAAATATCTTCTTAGCTCGACAGTCAATACACTTTCTCCGCCGCTGTCTAAAACACCGAGTCATCCCGAAATTCATGAAACGAAGACGACTACACGACGTATGCGGACTACCAGAGAACAGTCACCGAATACTGGACATCGAATTTCGAATACTACGCACTTGTCTACGAAGTCGACAAAACCAGATGTTCGCCAAGTGGAAGAAGTGGGAGAAGAAAGAAAACTATTGTGCTCAGTATTTGGAGGACCGCCTCTGCAGGAGGATAGTGGGTGGGTCAGTGTTCATTTGCAACTCTATTAGGTCTAATGCTAAAGTAACTTTGCGAAGAAAATTCGAAGACCTTTTGAGTAAATCGCACAACAAGGCTGAGCGCACAGAAATACCGCTAACGAACTTCAAACAGGTCACAGCAGGATAAATAATGTGCAAGAAAATTCAAGGCTAACCGTGCTAGGAGGCATAACCCTCCCTGACGGTGCGCGCTCGTTATTAGAATTGGGACCAATTTTCTCACCATCTGAACCCATTTCTAAAGTAACCTTGCGTAGGTTCGCATGTAGTTTACATGAACTTCAAGATAGACTCAGCAAAAAAGCTAGGGATAAAGCGCAAAATAGGCGCGAACAACAAAAAGTAGGGGCAATACCAGTACCACCATTTCCTCAACCGTTCTTTAGACAACAAGAGCCCATTAATGAAGTTGATGTTAAATTTCGGACGTTTACGAATGAAACTTTCAAAGTCCTTAATCACTATCGCGCTAAAAGATACTGCTCCAACCTCACTGAAATACAAAAACGTGGTATGCGGGAGGTACGAGAGCTGATAAGAACAAAAAACATCGGTTAGTGATAAGCGTGAAGAGTTCGCTGCAATTCCCCATCAGTTAGATGTTGAGATAACGGAAAAGCACCTTAAAGATGCTTCGCTTTATCGCCCATCATCTGAGAAGGAATTTAAAAGTAAATAAAGAAAATTGAACCACGAATGGGCCAAAATGGCTTGGGCTGCTGGAAGAATTGGGACCGAATTTCCCACCATTTAAAACCATCAGTTATCTCTCAACTAAAAATTGACTTACCAATATGTCCCGTCTTGTACTTGCTTATAAAAACTCATAAGTTAGTATCCAGCGATGATCTTGCGTCTATCGATCCATCATTGTTTAAGGTTAGACCAATCATTAGCTGCGTAGACGGGCCAACGGATAGGATAACATGGTTTTTAACCCTAATATTCAACCAGCTGTTGAAACACATTTGAGGCCATCTTACGAATACCCAGATGTTTCTGGATCGTCTACGTACTGCGGAGCCCAGCAGCGCGTACGTGATGGAGTCCTTCGACATTACCGTCCTTTATACAAATGTATCGAATGACTCCGCAATGCGAGCCATATTCGAACTCCTTTTACAGCATGAAGAAGAAATAAACATGTGGGGTTTCAAAACGGAGCAATTGATGGCACTCTTTGAAAAATGCTTGAGCTGCTCAATCGTCAGATGGTCCGGAAAGTACTACACTCAAATAAGAGGGCTGGCAATGGGAAAACGACTGGCACCAAGTCTTGCCATTGCGTTTATGTCTAAGGTGGAAGCATCAATGACTGATTTGAGGCCTTTACTCTACTGTAGATATATAGATGACTGTTTTGTTCTTTGCTTAACACAAGGGGAAATGGACAAATGTTTCGAGTTGCTAAATGAACAGTCGAAGTATATTAAATCCACCCTAGAGAAACGGAGAAAAAACTGGATTCCATTCCTGAACGTCCAAATTAACCTGTCAAAACACGGCTACATTACGAAGTGGTACCGAAAGTCAAGTAGTAAAAACATCTTGATTCATTACCTCTCCTCTCATCCCTCTCACACGAAAAACGCGCTTGTAAGAAACATGTTTCGAACAGCAACCAACGTGTGCGCAGGAAGAGAGCAGAGAGAAGAGTCTCAGAACTTGGCGCGGCAAGTAGCTATTTCTAATGGCTACGAAACTGTAGCTCGGGATAGGTGTTGAGAAAATTCCAGACCCCCGAACGACAACTTTAGCAATAAAATGGTCTCGTTTATCTTAGGCTTCCTCTCAAATGATTTAAGTGCGGCTATAAAACGCTGCTTGAGAATGGCGGCTTTAGATAATTCAGTAAACGTAGTTAAAATGCCACTGAGTACCTTTTGGAGCCAGCTAGTTTTTAACCGCCTATATGCCCGTCTATGTGCAACGCAAAATTGAATAATTTGCCGTATTGGTAGACACGGTGATTGCAAGAACTCGGGTACAGTTCATCGGATCTCCTGTAAGGCGTGCGGAGGCGAATACATTGACGAAACGGGTAGACCACTCTGTAACCGCATAAAAGAACACCCAGCCGGCAAACGTAAACCAAGTACCCCACTAGGCACGCATAGGACCCAGGGACATAGCGGAGATTTTAAAGCACGCGTCACGATCCTCGTATGTGAATCGAGAACATAAGCACGCAAAACTCTCGAAGTGTTCTGGATTAATTCCAGAAAGCCGGAAGCGAACCGCAGGGAAGAATGCCTCATTATCACGCGTGATATTGTAAAGTATATAAGCCTGTTATTCTGATGGGAGAGGCACATTACGCTTTCATGTGAATTTTGTGCAGTTGGTATCCACGCGAAATACTCAGTGGAAGACTCCTAGAAAGTGGTGAGTTTGCAAAGAAGCTATTCTGTGTTTAATGTAATTGTTTCAGCGTTTTCTCTGTTTGGTTATTGAGGTGTTTGGCCGAATAGATTGCTGTCAAGTTGACCTTTCCAGGCTCTGAGGAAGATGAAATCCGCTGGAACGTCAGCTTGTTCGTGAATAAAGAATAAAATAACACCTCCCTTCTGCTCAACAAGAATATGGAGAATTACTTGATCAATGCTGAGGTTAATAGAAAATCCGTCGTGGAATCCCAATAGGTTCCCAATACATTGAGAGAAAATTGTTGCAAATTAATTTAGTCCTACGTCTACAAGACTTATAAACAATTCAAACTTTTACTGCTTTAAAGAACGACCTATTTTGAAACAGACCTCGTTTAATCTCGGCGGTAAAATATATATTCGTTTAACTTAAGATTGCTTGATACTTGACACTTGCACGGCCCGTCCTCACTAATTGTGCGGGCTTCAGCAAAGTCACCATTTATCAGAGATTTGCTGGTTTAGTATCGTGTATCCCTAGAGTCCCGAGGATAGCCTGGCCAATGTCTGCTCTAGGTGTTCACCACCACAGGCGGTCGCAGTCCTTGTGGATCAAAGGGAGATTTGCCACTATGCGACTTTGACGCCAGGGCGGTGGTGGTTCCTGGTATTGGTTTACTCTTAGCTAGGCTTCCTGATGGAAACGCCGGACTCCATCTCAGCTTGGGAGAGCCTGCTAGGAAGACGAATTCCCTCGCTGTACATCGCAGTCCAACACCTATGAATAGCTACCAGCCACGATGCGGCGGTAAACCGTTGCGAGGTTCACCTAAGATTACCAATCACATTTCTTCATTACCGCCATACATCATCTGCTCATTCCAGAAGGAAAACTTTAGAAATTCAGAGAGATCTTTGTGATGAAAGCTTTATATGCTGCAACAGTGGGCTCTTTTTCTAGATGAAACTTACTTGTTTCTGTAGTGGCATGTCATAAACGCGAAAATAATGAACACCACAGTTAGTGATAAAACGAAAACACCAAGAACGTAAGCCACAGGCGGTATCGATAAATGCGTCACCGATGTCGAAAAAACCTTAAAAACGTTCTGCTTAACACTAGTAACTAATAAAAAAAACAAAATGCTTTAAAATGGCAAGTATACCGTTTTCGTTCAAGGTCAATAAAAATTTGCGGAATAATTGCTTCAGAACGTTCCCACAAAAGGCCGGAAATAGTTCCTCTTGGAGCACAATTTTTTTAGACGAGCAAACACAACTTATTGTGCTGATTCCAGTACTGCTTTCATTCGATTCTCTTCTTCACATTAATAATCCACGAAGGACCCCGAACTATTTGTGTGTGGGCTCGCCTGCAGTTTCAGGATTCTCGCTTTCGTCACGGATATTATTAAATACGGTCTGGTCCATTCTACATGAAGTTTTGAGAAAGCCGTGTTAAAGCATTTTTACGTGAACCGGAGAGAGTAAACTGATTCCAAATAATTCGGTACCAATTAGCAACCTCGCAGAGAAGGAAGGAATGTTTGGCCGGAGGCGCGGTCAAACGAGACGTCTACTGATAATAAGCGCCATCCTATCACAACATTAAATGCTGACTGTGAAAGAGTCAGTGAAATCCACTTCAACGGGCTTAACAGAAAATTAGAAATCTTAACCTTGTGATCTTGTGACGTCATCGAAAATCGTATACTGAAATATCTGATGTAGTCGCATGACTTACTTCTTAAAAACTTTTGCTACCGATCATTGTTGTTCCAACAATCCCAACAAAAAATTTGCTTTCTAGTACTTTTTTATTTTTCTCAGTCTTTAATAGTACAATGCTACTTAATGAGGGGGGAATTTCACAGAAGGCCTAGTTTATCAACCCCGGTACTATAAGAAGGTACCTGCGCTCGAGTCATGCTCGGCATTTCGCTGCTCATAGTAGAGCGATGCCTGTCTGCGATGGCTATAGCCCGTTCAGCTGGGATAATTTCGGAAGAGCTACGATTCACAAAAACCTGAATTTGCAAAAGTAATGGTAATGTAGGAGCATAATAATATATAAGGGCAACATAACAATGCACAATTCTTTAGTAAATTGTTCAAAAATAAATGGGCCTTTTTAACCACGTTATTTAAGATGTTATAACTTGGCTTAAACAAAACTTTATCAATTAAAATAAAAGCCGTTTAAACCTACATATTTTTTCCAACAAAAAACAAATTTAATTGTTCCAGTTGCACAAAATCCTGAAGTTCTAGAAGCGATTAATTGGTTGAAGGCATTTTTTTGGTCACCGTGGTTGTTGAAGCATTTCTCGTGCAGAAAGTTGTCAAGGTGCTCTAAGAAGTGATAGTCGATAGAAGAAAGCTCTGATGAATATGGTAGATAAAGCAAAGCTTCATAGGCCAGCTCGTTCAACTTCTGCAGCGAAGGTGCTGCGACGTGACGGCCGGCGTTGTCGCGGAGAAAGACTGGTCCTTTCTATTGACTAAAGCCGGTCGCTCTTTTTGGAGTTTACAGTGCATTTCACCATGGATCCCCCTCGTATTCACGGATCTCCCTCATATGAGGGATCTCCAGCCGGTTAGCGGCGAGGCTACGTGGCGCGTTCCCAGGTGACGGATAAGGGATTAATTGCCGACCAAAGGCGACCTTTGCCTCCCTGAGGCGCAGATGGATCCAGAGGATGGACTTCCTGTTTCGGCTGTTCTAATTTGGCACATACTTTTTCTATCTGCCAGGCATATTTATGCATGCGTGTGTGGATGCGTTCTTGCTTATGCGGATTGTATTCTTCGAGTCAATTCAGCCAAAAGCCTGCCAAGTGGCTGGGAAGTATATGGGAGGAGGTTAGGAGTCGCCTCCAACAAAAAAGCTCCATGTCCACTCTGGAAAAGCCTGGCAAGCTACCCGTGAGTATACCCAGCCTTCTTTCAAAGCCCAACAAACTATACGTAGATATCAAAATGGTAAACACAGTAAAAAAAAAAACAGGCCTCATTCCCCAGACTCCGAAGGAGCCCTCAATTTCGCAGCGTTGGGTAGGACGACCACGGAGAGGCTGCTAAAATCTCAGGTTCAATGGAAGTTGCCCGGATTTCAAAGAACTATGATGACGATCTGTACCTACAATACACGTGCACTTGCATCCGAGTCCTTGATGGAAGATTTGCTCATGCAAGCAAAAAGGATAAGATACAACGTCATCAGCTTGGCCGAGACGAGACGATGCCACCCATTCAACGCTGTCTATGACATCGGAAAAGAACTGTTCCTCGGAAGATGCGACAGTAGAGGAGTCAGCGGCGTCGACGTTCTCGTCAACACGAGAGTGTCCATGAACATTGATTCATTCAAACAACTAACAACCCAAATCAGACGTTTACGATTAAAAAGATGTGGATCAAACCCGGTGTTGACAATCTCCGTCGTTAACGCGCCAGCATCAAACTATGACGAAGAAAAAGTCGAAGCATTCTATATGGACTTGGAAATGTTCTACAGACAAGACCATACATTCTTTAAGGTCGTCATTGGAGATTTCAACGCCAAGATTAACCTAAGAAGAACGTCTGAAGAACGTCACATTGAACCCATAGATTAGAATGGAACGAACAGAGTGAGCAGTTATATGATTTTATCGTGGCAACCAAGACCGTCCATGGTAACTTACAAATGCAGAAGTTCCACCCTCAGCACTGGACGCGGGATTCTCCCAATGGAGAGTACCATAACGAAATAGACCACATCATAGTAAATAGAAGGTTTTGCCTAACCGATGTCGCTGTTTTCCCGAAATTCTACACGAAATCAGACCACCATCTCCTTCCTGCAAGATTCTATTTATCACGAAAAGAAGAAAAAGCCGCTAAATTCGAAAACCGAAGTCCTAGAACTACCACAAACTGGGCTTTATTCAATTCCTTGGTCTGCTATTTTGGAAGATGCCGTTGTCGTTAACATCGACGAAGAATGCGATCGGCTCATTCAACATCTTCATGTTAGTGCTAAGAAAGCTGAGAGTTCGAAAGTCAGCAAGAGACGTCGGTCTCCAGAAACACTCGAGCTGATGCTGCAGCGTGGAATCGCTCCAGATGCATGCAACTGCGAACCAACGTTCGAACTCTCGAAACATTGCAGACATGCGATAGAAGAACTTGTTAAAAAGAGAGGAGCTGCGGCAATTATCGAAGCTGAAGAGGCAAGGAAAAGTATTCGCAAAGCCCGCCGAAGCTGCAAAAGTCGATGGAGAAAACTACTCAAGGTTGTTATTCAGAACTCTTCAATAGCCGCGTCCACCTCCCTCATGTCAAATTTAGGAGGATGATTATGTTGTACCACCGACTGTCCCCTCCGAAGTGCAACATGCTATTTCGTTGATAAAAAAACGAAGAGTACCAGGTCTGGGCAGGATAAGATCTGAACACCTGAAAAATGTTCCGCCAGTCCTCGTAAACACACTAAGTCGGCTGTTCACACGTTACCTCTCTGAATGCAAGGCACCTACTGAATTTAAAGCCGGCAAGACCGTCTTATTGTTCAAGGAAGGGTAACCTCCACGATATCATCACCTTTCGCCTAACCTGCTAGCTGTATATCGTCTACAAACTTTTCACTCCAGTCATTCTAAACAGGAATGGAACAACAGTGAGCGAAGGACGGCCATGTGAACAAGCAGGGTTTCGAAAGGAATTCAGCACGATGTGTGATGCCCACACTCTAACAAGACTTATTGAAGTATCGTAAAGACGCAAAAGACTCCTCTATTTAATTTTCATCTATTTAAAAAAAGAGAATCGACCCAATTGAGATAGATGTCATGGAAGCGCTGGACAGTCAAGGCGTTCCTTCTCTGTACGAACAGATTCTTCGTGAGCTGTACAAAAATTTCACAACCAAAATATCACCATTCTACAACGGTTTTAACGCTGACGTCAAAAGAGGGTTTACTCAGGCAAGGCGATACCATCTCGCCAAAATTATTCACCGCCACCTTCGAGAACGTCATGCGAACATTGGAAGGGAGTAAAATAATATAGGAGTAAAAATCGATGGTCGGCAGTTACAGTATCTTCGCTTTGCTGATGACATTGTCCTTATAACACCAAACATTAGTCAAGCGGAACATATGCTTGCGACTTTGATAAAACCTGTGGAAAAATTGGTTTTTGACTAAGTCTCGCAAAACGATGTTCAAAAAGAACGAATTGGTTTCGTATGCTCTATTCACGCTCAAAGGAAGGAATACCTCCGAATGCTCCAGTTATGTCTAGTTATGTCTATCTAGGTCGGAAAATCAGTATGATGAACGACTTATCTCCAGAGCTAAGCAGAAGGAAACGAGCGGCTTGGAGAGCTTTCAAGAGCATCGAGGATGTAGTGGAAAGAATAAAAACACCCGACTCCGTACCTACCTTTTCGATTAAACGGGACTTCCTGCCCTAGCGTATGCGTCAGAAACCTAGCCACTGCGTAAAGTATGCTGTTTCACACAAGTAAGGGAAGGGATCCGAGGTTCCGACCTTCGTCAATGATCAAAAATCAAAAATACCGTTCTGTACGCCAAACAGTTGAAGATAAGGTGGGCCGGACACGTTATGCGTATGAATGACAACCGGTGGACAAGTGCCGTTAGTGACTGGGTTCCTCGGGATGTCACACGTACTGCAGGAAGACCACCGACCCGATGGTCAGAGTTTTTTACGAAGGGCCTAAAAGAAGGATTTGATGTTCAACGAGTCCTAGAGCGAGCAGAACCCACTGGGCTACTCTTGCACGCGACTGGGACAAATGGAAGATTTACTAGCGCCCGCTCGAGTCACTCGACGATGAACGGGACTAAAGGTGAAACAATTGATACAGTGCATTTCGTCGATTTCTTAGCAATACTTCTCTGCCGTATTCATGTCACCTTGATTCAAGAAATTGTGGTGAATCAATATGTATTTTCTTTGATGAGCTTACACGAGGTTGATAATGATGTTTATTTTCGGCTAACGTTTCGACGTCTTCGTCTTCCTCAGAGCCGATGATACAAGTCGATGGTCGAAATATTATTACGCTTTGTGCTAGCTGATAACAACACCGACTTCTGCACGATGTGCGCGATGATTATGTCCGGAAGAAAAATAAGCTGTTATAACCAGACATTATCATTATATCCACCATCAGCATCGTGTATAAAAGGGCATCACTGAGTAAGGATGCCTCATTCGAGAGGATGGCTCACTGAAGAAGACCTGACTCGACGCAAAGGCGAAGCTGCCACGTCGAGACGAATAACAAGCGTGGACCATCGACTCGGATCATCGGCTTTGAGGAAGACGAAGACGTCAAAACGTTAGCCGAAAATAAACATCATTATCAGCCTCGTGTAAGCTCAACAAAGAAAGAATACATATTGATTAGTGATACCGAGGTTCAAGGAAAGTCAGTTTCGAAATATTACCATGCTTTGTGGTGAATCAGTCCGGTTTTAGACCACCAAATAGTCACCATAACCTTTTTTGTTGCAATTTCGGCTTTGGGAAATCCTGTGGAGCCTGGTCGTAATCTAGCCATTTAGCTGAAGGTCGTTACTTGTCGTATAGAATCAACTTCTCGTCGCTCGCCACAATTTGACCAAAAAAAGAATCGCTTTTGTTACGCAGAGTAAGAGCAAATGACACTTTAAAACGGCGTTCTTTAAAATTACCATTTAATTCTTGCGGCGCTCATTTGTTGAGTTTTTTGTCTCTCCTATGCGATTCTAGAAAGTGGGAATTGTTCCTGTGCTTACATTAAGCCTTTTTGAAAGGTCTCGAACGGTTGTTCGCGTGTTTGCTTTCACTACTGCCTTCAACTCAATTTCATTGGAGCGCCTGTAGCCCTCTTTATCCTCGAGATCGAAATTGCCAGATTGGAATTTCCGGAACCACTTTCGCCCTGTTGATACACCAACACTAACTTCACACCAAATTTCATCAATGTTTCGAGCCATCTCTGCTGCACTACGATCCAGTTTGAACGCATAGAAGAAAATCTGACGAAAATTGGTTTTTGACGTCTAAAATTACGAAACTCAAAATTAATTGAGAGGGAAGAAAAAGAGGAAAAGGGATAATGAAAATAAGCTGCAAAAAACAGTAGGGAATAGAAGAGAAGGTAAAGAGAAAAATAGAACAGAACAATGTTTTAGCAATAACTCAAGCAATCGTATAAGAAGTATTTCAGAATGCCAAGTTTTAGGCCATTAAGATCAGAGCACTTTTGGGCAGGTAAATGAAAACAAAAGAAAAGGAAAATGATATTACTGGTTTTCGCCGCTCATATCCTTTATTGATTAGATGGCACTGCCATGTGAATGGTCAAAATTTACCAACCAATCGTAAATCGGTGACGTCATAAAAGACTTCCTCTTCTTCATGATGGTACTGTAGGTCTTTCATTATTACCTTGAGACCGGTTGCGTTTGCTAGTGTTCTAAATGGTTTTGTTTCATAATATTATTGAAAGAAGGTACAATGGAAATGACCAAAAACTAAAGTAAAAGAACTGAAAGCATGGGAACAAATAATAATAGTAAAGGATAAAGCTCTCGGCGTTAATCAATCAATGAAAGACGCTCCATTCCACTTCATTAAAGTTCGCTAGAGGTGAGTGAATTCAAATCTGGTAATCACTAGAGGAGCCTACTGATGTATCGAGCCAATGCTGCTATCCTTCCAGACAAGGTTGGTACCAATTTGCCGACCCTGGAGGTATGAAAGGGGTGATGAACCTGGGGAACGCGATCGGGCCCATGTGTATCACAGGGCACCTCGAACGTTACAGAAAGAAGTAGGCTCACAGAAATCATTTATGTTCTCTGTTCTCAGCATTCACCACACTTAATAGTCATTTTCTAATTCGTCTTGCTAGAGAGTAAAAGTCTGCTTCAAAAACTTCACATGCCAAGGAATGAAATATATAAAAAGCGATAAAATGCTAAAAAAAAAAATGATATAATGTAAATAAGATACTTACAAGAGAATTTGCAAATGCTTACCCTTTGATGTTATTGATTTTCTCATAGTCCATGGCTGCCGGTGGAATTGGTAACTCTAACCGTACAATGTCACTTTCTTCATGTATGTGCACCTGTTTACAAGAGAATTATTATAAACAGAAATGAATACTTTAGTAAGGATCGGTACTGTGTTTTTTCGTTTTCTTCCTAAGTATGCTTTTTACCTATTTCGTAGGATAAAAAAGGATAAAGCTCTTGGTGTTGATCAATCACTGAGGAATGCGCCATGCATTCGACTTCATTAAGTATCGTTGTAGGTGACTGAATGCATATCTGGACTTTACAGTGACTCAGTGACTCAAGATGGCAACCGATGTATCGACCCAGTGCTGCTATCCTCCCAGACAAGTCTGGTACCGATTCCCTCCTTCCGGGGGATGGGAAGCTTGGTGGATCATGGGCGCTGAGATCTATTCTACGTGTGCGTTGCATGGTGCCTCCGACCACTGCGCCAGATGCGCCTTAGCTGTTTCGCAACCTTTAATTAGCCACCGAAGTGTTTTTCGACTTATATTTTAAATCCCGGAATACCTCCTTTTATTATTTTTTTTCCATCTCTATAAGACCCAACATTAGATATTCTGTGAAACTCAGCAATCTTTTCATTTGGTTCGCCTGCTCGCTCCATTGCCGCTGGTACGGGGTCGTACCGAAGTTTTGCGAAGTAAATTCGTTTCACTACCACTCGCTTCATTCGTTCACGTATGGCTTCCTTTGGTTTTCGTCCTTTCGAGGGATACAACGAATAGTACACTTTCGATATGAAGCAAGTAGGCAATCATGGTTAGCTTGACAGATACCGTCGTAGTTTTACACCTGGTTGCACTTAGCTTGGGATATTCTTAGCTTGGCCAAACTCCAGCCGTACATTGCAGTTCCATTTCAGAAAAACCAACCAGCTTTAATGGAATAATAGGATCTCTAAGTAAGGAAATCTATGAGACATGAGTATTTTGACACATGGCTGAATGCTTAATCATTCATACAATCTTTTAGTTACTGCGATCTCGAAGAAATGACATGAAATATCCTCATAGTGCTCTCCAGAATGCGCAATACGCCAACCATTGTAAAACAAATGTATTACTAAATTCTCATCTGGTCGCAAAGAATGCATGTCAACTTCATTTTGAATTAAGCCACCGCGATGCCGCAACAATACTTTCACATATTCCTGAGATCAACAATGTAAGAACATTAATATCTTTTGATTCTGAAAGGAAAACTGAAACAATAGATTATAGAAAATTCTCCGTGGTTGACGAAAACTAATTTGGTTAAACAACCAATTTCTCACGAGTTCTTGGTCAATCGAGGCCAAGAAATACGGTTATGCTCTCGTTCGACAGCTTTGTTCCCTTAAAATCGACCACTGAAGCAGTTTTCGGACCTTGAAGACTTCTTTCAACCTTGGTGTTGGTCATCACGTTCATTTATTTCATGCCAAAATGTTTTCCCCACTTTGTATAATATATCCAGGTTTCACAATGCTTCCTTTTTTATTTTCTGCCTTCTATCATTTTTATGGCAGTATATTAAGCGAAATACGGCCACAAGATTGCTGAGATATTTGCAAAACTCCGGACGGCAGATGTCTGCGGTGGGGAACGAACGCGCTATTGTCCTTTCCGGGGAATAACGCGTTCACCACCACACCATGCGGGTCCTTCATTTCGCCTGTATCTAAGCTAGTTCCCTCTAGGTTCGGAGTTTTGCAAATATCTCAGCAATCTTGTGGTTGTATATTCAGGTTTATTTTCTAGGTCAAAGTAGAAAATAAAATTGGGCGCAGCTTAAATAATATACTCTAGGCTCGGGCGAAATACACTCACATTTACAATACAGTGATCTTTTTGTGCCTTGGCAGCGGTAGGATTGTCCATTGATTCCACAAGCAGATGAAATACGCCTCCAGTAAAGTCACTAAACATTTGCTGATTACCGTGCTCTTCGATAGATATGTAGTAATAGGAAACATTATATTTACTTTTATTTTGACAGTTTATGTCACGTTTTCACTAACAATGTCTTCATAAATCGAATACTGAGAAATACCATTAGGACCTATCGCTAGCTAATTGTATATCCAATCTCCACAAATAATCCCGCAGGCCAGAATACAGCTTCATTTGACCGCCACCCAAGTGGATGGGTAAACTCATCTCTGGAGTCACAAATATGCTGCTTCAGAACGTTTCCAGGTGGTCACTACCGACATTCTTGACCCCTGCAGATCAAACGACCTTCACCAGTTGTTGGCCATAGTTTACTTATAACTCTTTTATTCAACGGTCTCTTTACCTCCAGCAGAATTAAAAGTGGAAGTGTCGGACTACACTTATGTTGTATGCTACAGCAAAGAAAAGAAGCGCTGCTATACATTTCAGTTCGACATCAAGGAAAACTACCTACCACTGTAATACCGTAGGACATAGTAGAATTAGTGCAAGGGCTAGATTTTAAAACATCAAGAATCATTACGTATATTTTAAAAAACACAGCTGCAATATATGAACCAAAATATTTTCACTGCTCCTTCAAAGAAATCTGTACGCTACCTAGCAGTTTGCTGGAGTTGAACAACGCCGCTCATCGGTGTTATGGAGAACATATGCTGGACTGTTTGACTCATGCCGTGATACTCGAACAACGTTTCCTTGATCCGATAATATACCGTATTCATGTCTATAAAGTAAAGTGGAGTCACGTTCCATTTTTCTTGTAATAAGGATTAATAGCTCAAATAATCCATACCCATATGTATGCATGTCAAAACTAAGCCTGAAAAGGATTCTTATTACAGGAAAAAACCTAAACTGGTTAGTAAAAATAGGTCGTGTGACCCAAGATGGCAAATGAGCTTTTAAACTCGCACTAAAAATAGAAAAGTGGCTCATTCCTCGATTTAAGACGTAGATTACGTAGACGACGAAGACGTAGACGTAATTAGATCCTTCTAACGGTTATCGTCTCATCGTGGTTGGGAGGTGTTCCTGGGTGTCCGACTGCGATGTACAGCGGGGGATTCGTCTCTTCGGCAGGATCTCCCAAGTTGAGAAGGAGTCTGGCATTTCCATCAGGAAGCCTAGCTAAGAGTAAGCCAATACCACGACCCAAAGGCCTCGGTATCAAAGTCGCATGGTGGTAAATTTCCCTCTGATCCACAAGGACTGCGACCGCCTGTGGTGGTGAAGACCTGGGGCAGACATTGGCCAGGCTGTCTTCGGGACTCCAGGGAAACACAATACTAAACCAACAAATCTCCGAAAAACAGCGGTTATGCTGGGGCCCGCACAACTAGTGATGATGGGCCGTTCAAGTATCAAATAAGTATCAAGATTAATTAGATTAGATAAAAGGAAGAAATCTCTGTTTATCTACATCAATTAGAAGTATAAAGATTGTACCCATTCAACGTTTAGTATTCACGCGCACGGGTGTTGGTTGCCCTGCGTTCATGGGAATTCTTCGTCCTCGTCGATTTGGTTAAAATGTTTGAAGTATTGGGTAGCACACAGAAAGCCGCGAAGAATGACTTCCAGCAGCAAATCTAATCCTGGCTTTAGAAAAGTCAAAAAAGCCAATCGCTGATATACCAACCGGAGATCTTGTTGAGTAATTCAATAATTGGCGAGACAGAAGATGATAGAGGTGATATACAAACCAACACATTCGAAATTATCATATAAAATATGACTAAGCAAATTAATGCTCACCGTTGCCGGCCACTGGTTGGTCTGGATCGTACGTACTAAGTTTGACGATTTTCTGACCGGGCAAAGTGCCCTTAGCAACTAACACATCGTAATGGCCTCGTTCAAATAGTGGACCATTGTCGTTTCTGAAAGAAGCGTTTAGGTTAGCACTTTAGCGTCAGTGCTGACGTTGACAGAAGCGGTCTCACGCATACAGTAGCATACGCGTGTACGTGCGTGTACATGCGTGTACATGTGCTTACATTTGTCGGTGGGGAAGTTTGTGCATGTTTGTATATGTGCATAGTGTGTATACACGCTTGTGGTCGTGTGTATTAGCAATATCACTTACAGTCATATTTTAGCAAGACTTTTCAAGAATCGAATCTATGAATGCCTTGGTGGGGTTGGTGAGTGTGAGGCAAAGTGAGTGGACTATTCTTCAAAACAGCAGTTACAGGCCCAAAGAATTTCCAAGCGATGAGTGATGTTCTTACATACTAGTTTGGAAGAGAATTAACTTGGTTTACGTCTTGTACTTTAACTCTGGACGAAACATATAGAAGTCAATAAAAAAATCCAAGGAATCAAAACATAAGTAAATGTTAATAATAGTAGACTGCGCGTGTAGTGAAGTTAAAAGTGCAATTCAGTAAAATTTGGTTGCAGGTTAGATCCTGCTCTCCAAACAAACCATGTCCTCTATCTCCGCTGGGTTAGAAGATTGGTACCGCACTGGTCTGGAAGGAGGGAATATCTGAACTGTTACATCGATAGGGCTACCTCCAGTCATTGTATTGGCCAGATATTATTTCATCAATTCTAAGACGATAGGGATTGGATGTATAGCGCATTCTTCAGGGATTGATGATTTTCAAATGCTTCTTTCTCTACGCTTCTTAATAGATTGAATTGCGATAGAATAAGATTGGTGGAAGATTGGAAATCACTGGAGAATTAAGTTAAAGTGTATCGTAAAACTGCATTAGGTGGACAAATGACAAAAAGTTCTAGAAACGGTTTCAAGACGAAGCCCAAATCTTCTCTATGAATCACGTTTCCTCAATATCGTCACTACTTGCGGTTAAATGCATGAAAATTTCAAAATGACGTCATTAAATCTGTTTTAAAGTAACCAACGTTATTGTATAAAACCTGCAATAGAAAACTTTGTGCAGAGGAAAATTTTAAGATGCCTTTTTAAGCCCCAAAAAAAGTTAACTAAAAAGTAATAGTACCGCAAAGCATTTTGCGATATGACTTTCTACGACAACAATTTGAATATTTTTTTTGAAAGAAAATTTTTAATTCTGTGAATGACCCGACTCCACACATTGCGAAGACCCCACCGATCCATATTTATTTCGTTGTGTTGGTCTCATCATTCATGAAGGTTTTCCGATTTGGGTGTGGGGTCGGCTATTGCTTGAGAATTTACTCCTATTTTTGGATGACCTTGATTGCCTGTCAAGTATAATACACGACGAATCTTGGAATAGCTGTAATAGGATGTTGCCAGGTTATCGCCACACGTACTTGCTAGCCTCTACATTTCAGAGGCAGTTTTCACCAGACAAGTTTGACAGCAATTTGCTTACACCGGAAAGATAGAAGCTTCTTTTGCTCTACGTGGGGTTGGACCACCAAATTTGCGTATATTATCGAATAGGATCTTTAATAGCCCTGAACAATGCGATTTCCGCGCCGCTCGAAAGTATGGAAAAAGCAGAAATAAAAACGTACACGTCAGTAACGATAATATGAAGTGACATGGACACAGTCACATCGCGTGTCATTTCGTCATCTTCGTTCGATGCAACAACTTCCAGGCTGAAAGCCGATTCTCATCTTCCATGCCATATTGTGTTTTTTAACAACGTTAAGGAAAGTTGCATTGATTAAGTGATAATCCACAGTTGCCGGCTTTTTCTTAAAAATACAAACAAGAAAATAAAAAAATAACTGGAAAGCTCATTAATTGCTCATTTCGTAATATTTCACTTTTCAATGAAGACATGAAGTGGTTAGAACCAAATATAATGATTCATCAATATTCCCTCTCTTTGACAAAGACGAACCTGTATGAATCGACGGTTTCTCTGTCGAGTCCATACACTACCACAACTTCGCCGGTAGACGAATTCATAGCGAACTCTTTTGATGGGTGCTTCAAACGGTAGAACACTGTCTGTGATTCATCAACGTCTACAGCTCGCATTGTTGCGATTACTGTACCTATGGCAACGTCTTCAGGTACCTGAAAAACAAATGCCGTTCAAGGGCATATCAGAAAGACAAACTAAAGCAAATAGCTCGAAAGATCGACTTTCTACAAACTTTCGCATAATAGTAGATATAAATATGTTCTTACGAACTCCCAATGGTTCGCCGCCTCATCGTAGCTGGGAGGTGTTTTTGGGTGTCGGGCTGCGATGTACAGCGTGGGATTCATCGCCTGGCAGGGTCTCCAAACTGAGAAGAAGTCCTGCGTTTCCATCAGAAAGCCCAGTTAGGAATAAACCAATACTAGGATCCATCACTGTCCTGCTACCAAACCAGTTGCATGATGGTGAATCTCCATCTGATCTATAAGGGCGATGATTGCCTGTGGTGGTGACGACTTCGGCCAAACTTTGCCCTGGCTGACTTCGGGACATCAGGAAAGCACAATGGGTAACCATCAAAACTGAAAAATGGAGATTATGGTGGCGTCCGTACAGCCAGTGAAGGCGCACCATCCAAATATCCAAGTAGGTAAGTAAGCGCGTTCAGGTAGATATAGATATATTGTAGAAAAATATATCGTTACCATGAAAATGAAATGAGACAATAAAATGCTTGAAAAAACACCTCAACGGTTGTGGAATCTAGAACTGGAGTCAGAGAATGGTCATCCACGTCCAGCACTCGCACTGTACTTGCCATTTGAACGAAATTATGCGAGCCAGCTTGTAGGCCGAGTACTAGCTGAGAATTATTCGCTCTTGAAGTGTTTTCCATTACTTCTTATTCTGCTATGAAAAAAATTTTGCCATGACATATAGCCTATCTATTATTAATTTTAGCAATTTTTTCTTCAAAATTTTCTTTTGAAGTCAGGAAAAAAGAATATGACTGAGATGCCAGTAACGACGAAGAAATTTTATAAGCGACAGTCTCTCGTCCAGCCATAATCACGTTATGAATTCGAATAATAGAAGAAAAACGAACTGAATTTTATTGCTGGTTTCGATGATAAGTGAGGTGCTATTTATTCACGGAAGTTGTAGGAAGAAGGAAAGATACACCAAATGGAGAACACGCACTATATTTACTATGCAAACTGCCTTGTGTAGAAGGCATAGTGGTTTTAGGAGCAGTACAATACACACTGGTTGCATCGAGGGTTGGACCTCGCACCCACCGCTAATCTAACCCTCCATCCTTCCAGAGTCGAAAAACTGACGTCAGACTTGCACAGGAAGATAAAGCATGCAGACCTGATCCAACAGTATACCGCCAATAATTAAGTAGCGAAATATTCATTGAATCACACGATCCTCCATAAAGACAAATGCATGATCCACCCCTCAGCGAAATGATCAGCGCTGAACGTTTTTTATCTTTGTACCCTTTTATGTAATGTAAACGTTGCTGTCCTTAAAAGTGCTGTGTAGAACAAAAACCGCTCCATGGAAGAAATCCGACACTAGTTTGTGTGGAATAGTTGTGACAAGAGACACCTAGTTACTTGATACTTGAACGGCTCGTCCTCACTGCTTGTGCAGACCCCAGCATAATCACCATTTTTCGGAAATTTGCTGATTAAGCCATTGTGATTTCCTGGAATCCCAAGGTCAGCCTGGCCAAAGTTTGACCCAACTCTTCACCACTACAGGCAGCCGCAGCCTTTGTGGATCAGAGGAAAACTTGCCACCGTGCGACTTTGATGCTAGGACGATGGTGGATCCTGGCATTGGTATACTCTTAACTAGACTTCCTGATGGAAACGCCGGACTCCTTCTCAGCTTGGGGGACCCTGCCGGGGTGACGAATCCCCCTGCTGTACATCGCGGTCCGACACCCAGGAACACCTCCCAGCCACGATGAGGCACTAAACCGTTGGGAGGGACACCTAGTTAAGAAATATAATGTTTCTAAGACCAATTTTTGTGCAATCTCACAGCGAATTACTGTAGACATATTAGCATCTTGACTTTTGACAACAAGTGTGTGACGCTATGCATTGATTTCAATGGGGCTTTTCATTTTCCTGCAAAGTGTTTCCCCACTGTACTTTACTGTACTTTTAGCATTCAATTGACAGCCTATCTAACACAGAAGTTTTGCGAGAATTGACGATATTTTTGTCATTTAATGACTTAGAAAAAGCCTTCTTTCGAAAATTTTTCCAATCCATGTCACGCTCGAGGAGGATTTGGATGCAGTCCTCAGCTGTCGCCAGGCAAAATTAGGCTTAGTCACGTATGTGTTAAAGTCCTATCCCGCAGTTAAGACTAATACCAAGGAAAGAGATCATGGTGAATTGACAATAGACCAACGCCACTTTCCCATGGAAGAATGACGGTACTTGATATTCCAAAATTCTTGCGCTGTGCGTGCAGCGCAGCAGTTAAGTGTGCCTTGCATTACACACGTGGTCATTGATTTGATTCAGCACACAGAGTAAACGAAGCCTTGCATCTTTCGCTAACTAGAAAATTGGTACTACAGTTGTTTGAGAGGACAGCAGCATTTGATTCATCGATAGGTCACTGCAATTCATTGTATAGGCCCGGTAAGCATTTGATAGCCTCTAACGATCGTCCATAAGAACCGCGTGTAGCGCAGTGCTTAGAGGCGCCCCGAAATACACATGGGATCGATCCCGCGGCCCAGGCTCACTAAGCTCTCCATTCCTCCAGCTTAGGCAAACTGCTACTAGACCTGTCTGGGAGGATAGCAGCACCGGGTCGATATATCGCTTTGCCACCATGAGTCAATGTAGAGGACAGATATGTAATTATTCACCTTCAACGACTTTAATGAAATCGAATACATAGCGCATCCCTCATGGATTGAACAACGCCGACAGCCTTATCTTTTATTATCCTTAACAATCCTCGATGAAGTTGAATTCATAGCGCTCAGGACTCGACTAAGCTAGAGGCCGGAAACCACTAATAGTTTAATTTTTATTTTCTGCCTTCTATAAATTTTATGGCATGATATTAAGCGAAATACAGCCACAAGATTGCTGAGATATTGGCAAAACTCCGAACCGCAGGTGTCTGCGGTGGGAAACGAACGCGTTGCTGTCCTTTCGGGGGAGTAACGCGTTCACCACCATACCATGCGGCTTCTTCGTTCCACACGTCTCTCACGCTAGTTCTATCGATTAGTGCCGCCAGCAATCACTAGTCAACGGGATTGATCTGAGGAGCTACACCGCAGGCACCTGCGGTCCGGAGTTTTGCAAATATCTCAGCAATCTTGTGGTTGTATTTCGCTTATTACCTTGTCATAAAAATTATAAACGGCAGAAAATAAAAAGTAAACATTGTGAATTCAACTACAACACCAGCTTAACTGGGTTCAGCGCCTATATGAGCTCCCCAGATCAATCCCGTTGACGGGTGATTGCTGATAGCACTGGTAGATAGAAAACCACGGGAGAAAAACGCGGAGCAAAGGGCCCATGTAGTGTGGTGGTAAACGCATCAGCCGTTGGAAAGGGTATTAACGTATTCGATCCCCACCGCAGACACCTGCGGTCCGGAGTTTTGCAAATACCTCAGCATTATTGTGCTTGTATTTCATCTAATACCCTGCTGTGAAAAATTGTACTGGATAGTAAATGAAAAAGTTAACATAGATGATGGATATGGAGGGAGGTGGGCAGAGTCCATTCGTGCGGTGTTCCACCGAGGAAGATCTGTCTCGGTACGACTACAAACTTGGCACATGGAGAAGACGAACAACTGTGGAGCATCTACTGGGATTATCGCCTCTGATGAAGACGAAGACGTCGAAACGTTAGCCTAATAAAATAACAACCTGGTGTAAACTCAACAATTTAAAAACATATAGATGATGGATAGTTCCGTTGATCACAAAAACAACATTTACCATGTATCATCTATAGCGTCCGAAGAGCATTAGAAATGATGTGGCGACGAATTATAATAAGAAAAGCATCACCAACATCATTCAGACGTCCCAGATAAGCCATGGACCAAGTGAAGGGATTAAAAAACTTTTCAATATAGTGGTTCTAGCACTCTGAGACGCGGCTGAGGCATCGGGATGATGCTTAAACACGTCAGGTATATTAAACATCACCAACGGAGTTCATGCACGATGAAATGTAGTAGGAACAAACAACGTCTAGACGAAATGCTCAGTTCAGATCTTGGAAACGCATCCTATCTTCGAGAACCAAGGGAATTTACAACAGTTAATGAGCAGCCATAAAGTGGGAAAAGTTAACGATAACTTAACGAAAAGAACTGTGGAATGGTCTTGAAAAGATGGAAACGTCCCTATGAGATGGGCTGACATGTTTGTGGCTCATATCAACCAGATGGACTAATTAAATATCTGAGTGCCAAAGTATTTAACACAACACAAGGATTTAAGGTCTGAAACTAGAAATGTCCGAAACTATAAATATAAATTGCAATCCGTATTCGGCGTTCTATGAAAAGCGCATTAAAGAAGAAATGAGAAATTATCTTTAGAAATCGGCAACAGAAGAAAGGAAAGAATCTTTACTGGGTGCATTGCCTGTTCTTCGTAATCGAATTGTACTCTACTGCGAATTTCACCATTGTTTACGTCGATTGAAACTGTTGACGTTTCGTTGGTGTACTGATGTGTGATCGTGTCCCATAATAAATACTTCGGTTCACATTTACTGTCAAGTTCAATAGCGGAAACTGTACCAATCTTCGTGTCAACTGGGCTATTCTGAAAGGAAAGTATGGAAACGCTCTGAGTGAAAATTCATGAGTAGAAATAAAAAGTCAAACATTTTTGTACAAAACGAAGTTTTCGTTAGCACTAACTTCAGCGATTGTGAACTCGAGATTACGGTCGTCCAGAAAACGTGGAACACAAGTGAATGCCGCCAGAATACGCAATAGGACTCTAGTTGTAGCATCATGTCCGTCAAGTATGGCTCGCACGAGAAACTCGTATGTACCGACGTAACCTTAACGAGAAGCAAATGCTAAGGTTTCACATTCTCAATAGGACAGAACTCTGCATAGCCGGCAATATTCCATAATCGAAATATTCTTTTTTTTCTTGCACTTATTTTAGTACGTCATTCGATCCCCCTTATTGAGGAATCCCTAGCCGGCCCATTTAGGTATAAGGCCACGTGGGGAGGAGGAGGGAACGAGCGAGGTAGGGAGGGAGGTAGGGGGAGGGTGAGACAGGAGGTTAGTCGTGGACCAAAAGCGAGCTTTGATTCCATGAGGCCAGGCGGATCAATAGGATGGACCTCCTTCCGGTGCGCTGATTAGACACCTACGTTCTATCTGCACGTAAAGATGTTCATGTATGGTGTGTGGATGTATACTTCTTCATGCACATTGTATTGTACAAGTAATTTCGCCCAAAATCCCTCAATGAGGCGACTCGAATGTACACTAGAGATAGTTAGGAGTCGCCTCCAACAAACAGGCTCCTCGTCCATTCTGAGGATCTGGCAGGCTACCCATGAGTATATCTATCTAATCTATGACTACTAGATCTGAAGATAGGTTATAATCCAGGGTAACAATACCTAGTAACTCTTCTCTGGCTGTTATACGACCATCGGAATCGATTTGAAGCAATTCGAGGACCACGGTAGCTTCATTGCCTGGCTCTATGAGGTATTTAGCACCAGTAGTACTACGGGCACCCAGTAGCTGCAATAATCATAAACAACTCTGGTAGGATGCACTAGCAGCCTTTATAACATTCAAGAATTACCTTTGGATATAGTATATATCCATTGATGGGCACATTTTCCATCACTTTCACATCGTAGAAGTCTTTCTCAAAGGAGATATTAACTTGGTCTTCGAGCATGATTCGAACCTGTATGAAACAGACGTGTGTGACAACGAAGTTTAATCGTCTGTCACGTATTCCTTGTGATTTTTCTGCTTTTCAATTTATTCCTTGTACGATCGATAAATGTAACAAAAATATTTCGCTTAAGATGTTTCTTTCCCTAAAAGAGTACTACTAAATGGTAAATACTCCTAATGCTAACTTTTATTTATTTCCTACTACAACTTTTTACGGCACGATAATATGTGAAACCCAAGAGGAATGAAGCTGAACCATTCGCAAAACACTTCCCAAACCAGATTCGAACTCTATTACCCTTTCCGGGGGCTCGCATGTTATGCACGGCACCAGGTGTTCGTTCTGGTTTTCTCTTATCCTCTCTTTTTCCCTACCAGTGCCATTAGCGGGAATGACATGGAGAGCACAAATCGGCATTAAACCAAGTTAAGCTAGGGCTCAGCCCGGAAAAAATTAATAGGCAATAGATAAAAGTTATACACTGATTTCGACTACAGCCTACGTTTAACTGGGTTTACCGCCGATTTTGCTCCCCAGATCATTTTTGGTTATGGGTGATTGCTAATGGCACGGTTAGAATAAAAGACTGTTGAGAGAAAGGCAAAACAAACAACTTAGTGGTCCTGTGGGTAATATGTGAGCCAGGGGAAAGTAGTCGCGATTCAGCCTGGCCTAGGACTCAATCTTTTAAATGTCTCCGTGTCATTGTAACGAAAGTTTAGTTTGTCAAATGGAAGTCTAGAGTTTTAGCAAAATTGTGAAACAAAAATGATTCTGAATTAAAATTTCAATAAAAACGGGGAAGTCTTGAACTTTCGAGTGGAGCTATCGAGTTGTGCGATTGGCTTTGAATTATTGCTTACAGTAAAGACGCAGTATTACACAAATTTTTACTAAAATTTGTTAACCTTACAAATTCCATGCAAATAATACAAGTTTACACCACAAAAATCCAAAAAATTCAAAGTGATGTGTTTGAAGTGTGTCGTAACCGATGGACGAAGTTTCTTCTCAGCTGCACAACAACAATCTCTACCTTCATATTTGAAACAAAAATCTAACTACTGCAATGGCAATCTTAGCCTTTTCCTATTTACCTGAAGATCCTAGAAAAGAATCCGTGAGGTTGAGAAGAAAACATCTTTTAAGTCCGACTTTCTATTAACCTCAGCATTGATTGAATATATCTTTCCACTTCTGTTCAGCATGTACGAGGTGCTATTTTATTTCTTTATTTACGCACAAGCTGACGTTTCGGCGGATTTCGCCTTCCTCAGAGCCGCTTTCTATGAGTCTTCCACTGAGTATGTCGCGTGAATACCGACCGCACCAAATTCACATGGAACCGTAAAACATCTTTTAATTATGACCAAGTAAAGAAAATCGATAACAAGACATTCGCAGAAACTTTTTCACTAGATTGGTGAAAGGACCACTTTATCAATATCGCTCTAAAAATCATAGCGAAAGCCAGAAATTTATTAATATATTGTCGATAACGAAGTTTTGACCCCAGGAACGTCACACATCTGAAGAACGCCCTTGTCTTTCTTTTCGAGATCTTCCAATACGACCCCATTTCATCTAATGATCACAAACAAGTAACAGAAAAGTTGATGAAACAAGAGAGAAAGCACATTTGACTCACATCGGACGTCGGACTACTAATCAAAATATTCGCTGCCAACAGAGAAATTGCTGTCGTCCATGAAAGATCCGCATGGCGAGGCAGCAAACATTCTTTCTATCCACAAAAGCTAACAACTCTCTATGATGATGATCTGAGAAGGCACTAACCGGTCACCTCAGGTAACCAGGGAAATCACACTTGACAGGAAGTCAGTGAGGATAGAAGTTCGCAGATCCTCAGGTCGTAGCCGAATCCGAACTCAAACCTTACCGCCTTCAGAAAAAAGCAACAAAGAAAGTCTTGAGACATGATGAGATATAAAGATGGGCTTTCCAAACAAGAACTCTTATGTAGAACAAGCACCTAATCATCTCTTATCCTGTGTAATTTTTACTCTAGCAGCTTTAATTTTTGCTGAAGGCACTCACCGGTACCGTCCTCGATAATGTTCCGTCACTCGCTCGAGCTACAAAATCTAGCTCAGAACCTTGAACACTAGCAATCGAACCCTTTAACATAATCGCACCCTAAATAGTGAGTAGTTTTATTACTGTACACCATTCCATTGGTTATGAGCTAAAAATCTTTTTGGTCATTCCTACCAGGTCGAATTACAAAAGTTTCTTAATTCCCGTGCTACTTTGACAACAACTTAATTAAATCTCAGGTGTTGATTTTTCGTACTGTTATAAGGAGCGCGTTACATTGATGCACATTGATTGACTACCATCTAAGAAAATAAGGTTCTGTTTATCTCCATATCATTTATTTCGTCTGACTTACTCGGTTATTAATGCTAAAGAAAACCGCGTCGCTTCCTTCGAGAGTGTATGACACCACGTCTCCGTGACTAGACTTTGCTTCCACAGTGGCTACCGTACTACCTGAAAAGTTTCTGATTCGATTTGAAAATTTACACACTGTTTGAAGGGTTTCCTAACATCTTTTTATTCACAAGATTTTTGAGATATTTGCAAAACTCCAGACCGCAGGTGTCTGCGGTGGGGAACGAACGCGTATTGTCCTTTCCAGAGAGTAACGCGTTCACCACCAGACCATGTAGGTCCTACGTCTCGCCTGTCTCTCAGCTAGTTCTATCGATCTGTACCGTCAGCAATAACCTTTGAACGGGATTGATCTCGGGAGCCCACATCGGCGTTGAACCCAGTTAAGCGGAAGCTGTAGTTGAATTCACAATGTTTACTTCTTATTTTCTCTCTTCTATTATTTTTATGGCAGGGGATCAAACGAAATACAACCAAAAGATTGCTGAAACGAAACGAAGGACCTGCATGGTGCGGTGNAAGCGGAAGCTGTAGTTGAATTCACAATGTTTACTTCTTATTTTCTCTCTTCTATTATTTTTATGGCAGGGTATCAAACGAAATACAACCAAAAGATTGCTGAAACGAAACGAAGGACCTGCATGGTGCGGTGGTGAACGCGTTTCTCTCCGTAAAGGACGATAGCGCGTTCGTTCCCCACCGCAGACACCTCCGGTCCGGAGTTTTGCAAATATCTCAGCAATTTTGTGGATGTATCACGCTTAATGCCCTGCCATAAAAATATTATAAGGCAGAAAATAAGAAGTAAACACTATCTTTTTAATATTTCACGATCTTCTTAACTATTGCACAGGTTTTCAATCTCTTCCTAGCACCTCGTAAAAGCAGTAGAAACAAAATCGCTTCTCCATGAAGCTTTAAATTTCCGAGTGAGCCCAGAGATAAATTCTCAATCTTCTATGCCAAAACATTCGATGAGAAGCTAGAGAGTACTAGCTGTGTAGTAGAGATAATTATCGATTAAGCGCCGTAAGTGCCAACTCATCCTCTTAAGCTGATGGTACCCATAATTCAAATTGTTATTTGATTTACTTCAGTCGAGTAACAATACAAACTACAATTTTAATTGCCCTTCTTCGCCAAGAATTGAGCAGAAACATACAGTTTAATTCTAGCTGGTAATTTGACGGTTGTGAAGTATGATGTTCCCTTCTTAAATTCTCGCAATAGCCGTATTAAGGCATTCCCAAGTAGTGGATTAGACGAAGAGTTGGCTCTTGGGATTGGATTGCTACAAGGACGGCGACTGTTCCTGGCATTGGTTTACTCTTAAGTGGGCTTCAGAATAAAAATATCGAGCATGTACTGAACTTGAGATACACTGCTGGACAGACAAACACTCTGCTATAGGTCTCAGCTCAACACTCGTAAACACCCGGTATTCTCAGCGAGAGTAGATAAATTGCGGAGGTTTAAAATCGTTTACATTCTCGACCCCAACAAAAAAAATGGAAGAAAATATCGTCGAACGATTTTTTTCTTCAGTTTGAACAAACAGTTCTACTAAAGCAAACACACCGATCATGTCGGATTTTCTCGCGTTGCCAGTGTATTGGTGTTGAACAAACGCCAATTTACGAACATTCGATGGACTGATCAACACCGTCAGATTGGCTCGTGTACTTCGTTCGGTGATTGGATCAATAGCTGTGATAGTGAGTAGCTCCTGAGTGATGTCGTCCACAGAACGGCTAGTTGTAATAACACCTAAATTATTGGCTAATAGAACATTCTACAAGGCAGTGGAAACTAAACATCTCCACTATTTATTTATGTGATCTTATAAACTGATCTTCTTAAGCTGACGCGAGGTTGGTACAGATCTTCGTTGTCGTTGTCTCCACTATTGATAATTAGAAACAATGAAAGCTGTTGAACAGATTTCATAGTTCATTTACCTCAACGGACTGCGGAAAATCCTAACTGACCAAACAATCAATTTCGTACTTACTTGAATACTTGGATGGCCCGCCTTCACTGGTTGTGCGGGCCCCAACGTAATTTCTACTTCTGCGGAACTTTGCTGGTTTTTTAACCATAGTGGTTTCCTAGGGTTCCGAGGTCAGTTTAGCAAAAGTACGACCCAGGTTGTCACCACCACAGGCAGTAGCCGTCTTTGTAGATCGGAGGGCGATTAGGGGCGAGAATAAATCAACTTTGTAATAGTAATAGTTTCGTAATAGAGTAACTTATAATCGCTGAACTATTAAATTTAAACAAAGCTCTGCACGAATTAAATTTATTTCTCTAATTTCCAGCAAAGCCTACTGATGTTTTGCTGATCTATCTACCCGACTTTTGATTCCAGGAATTCCAGGAGCCTCCTCTTAACATGCCAAAATCCTTCATATTAATTTGTCACTTGAAAACAAATTTTATATATGAAATGTTATAAAGCGCAAGCGAGCGGGTGAAAAAACATTATTCATACCTGTAATGTTATCGATTCGAAAGGCGTTCGATGGTGAATCGATATCATAGAGATAATCGATTGAGTGTGAAATGATGCTCTGTAACAGCAACGGACGGAACGCTGTTGATCCAACAGGACTATTCGCCGGAATTCTCACCACTTTCGGCATCTTAACACAAAAGTGACCCTTTGCATTGATTTCAATGCACATTCATGCCGAATGGCGTTTCTTTTTTGCTGAAAAGCGTTTAATTGTTGTACGTTTTTCACTCTATCAGTTGTAATAACCAAGACTAACTTTATGGGGGTGTTTGGCTGGGTACACTGAAGTCAACTTGAGGTTTCCAGGCTCTGAAGAAGGCAAAACCAACCGAAACGTCACTTTTTTCGTAACAACGTAAAATAACAACCTTTTGTCTTCAATTTTTATTTGCTGCTTACTATTTTTTAATGGCAGAATATTGTGTGAAATATAACCACAATGATGATGAGATATTTGCAAAACTCCAGAACGCTGATGTCTGCGGTGGAGAACGAACACGCTATTCCCTTTCCGGAGGCTAACGCGTTCACCACCACACCATGCAAGTCCTTGGTCTCGTATTTGCCGTTATTGATCCATATCTCTTCAATCGTAAGCGACGGATTTGGGTTGTTAGTTGTTCGAATGAATTGATGTATGTGGCCAAACTCGTACTGACGAAGAAGCCAAAGATGCCCACACCTCTATTGTCGCACATTCCGAGGAACAGTTCTTCTACAGTGTTATAACCGGCGTTGAATGCGTGACGTTGTCTTCTCTCTGCCAGTCTGATGGGATCGTGTCTTACCCTTCTTGCTTGCATTAGAAAGTCTTCTATCAAGGACTAAAATGCAAGTGTGCGTGCATTGTGGCACAGACCGTCACTTCAGTACTTGCGAATTTGGCAGCCTAGCACGGCTCTGAGATTCTAGCAGACCCTCCATACTCGTCTTACCCACGACAGCCGTATAGGAACTCTTTCGAAATCAAGGGCTTGCTGAGCTCTGAACTTGGGTGCTGGGTATACTCATAGGTAGCTTGCCAGTCTCTCTTAGAGTATAAAAGCCTACTTGTTCGAGGCGACTCCTAAATGCCAACCATATAGTTTCCTGTCACTTGATTGCAGGCCTTTGGCCGAGGAGAGTCATAGAATACAATCCGCGTCAACGAGAACACGCTCACACAAGCATGTGTGAATACGTATTTGTAGGTGCAGAGAGTATGTTACAAATCGGAGCAGCAAAAACAAGAAGTCCACCCTCTGCGTCTCAGGAAAGCGAAGCTGACTTTTTCTCTGCGATTAACCTTCTATCGCCACCTGTGGACGCGCCACATCGCCTCGCGACTAATCGGCGTGGGATCTCCTATTAGAGAGATGCCATCCACTTAACAGTCATAAGTGATTGAAGGATTTTGAATGAATCAACATTTAAGAACACAATCTACATATGTATCGCCACAAATCTTTGAAACAGCAACGGAGAATTCATACTTTAAACACTACTACTTCTCAGAAAGAACGCATTACGCAGCGTCTCGACTGGCCAGCTGGGCACCTTCAGCGAGGGAGATCCATGGACGTTTGAAATATTCGCCGCATATTTACCTGCTTTAAAAAATAGTCCCACTTTACATGTATGTGTAAATTGATCACCTGTGTAAAAAAAACAGAATCTTTCAAATAGATTGGAACAGAATATGTGTGGACAATAAAATCGAAAACAACCATTCAATTAAAGGAGCAAGAAGAAATAAAATTAAAAGTATTTCGAAACTGACTTTCTTTGAACCTCGGTATCACTAATCAATATGTATTCTTTCTTTGATGAGCTTACACGAGGTTGATAATGATGTTTATTTTCGGCTAACGTTTGGAGACGTCTTCGTCTTCCTCAGAGCCGATGATCAAAGTCGATGGTCCTCGCTTGTTATAAGTCTCGACGTGGCAGCTTCGCCTTCGTGTCGAGTCAGGTCTTCTTCAATGAGCCATCTCCTCGAATGTCGAACATCCTTACTGAGTGATGTTCTTTTATACACGATGCTGATGGTGGATACAATGATAATAGTTCCCAGGATCGACTTTCTCTTAACCTCGGCATTGGAATATGAATGCGTCGTTTCCTTGTTCAGCAATCGCGAGGTTTTTAAACAGCATACATTTACTTCCATAGAGAAACACAATACAATACAACGCTAGCTGGCGTTTTTGCAGTATCGCCTTCTTCAGAGTCGCCTTTTCGTGACTTCCAATGAGGAAGTTTAGAACAGCTGATTATAGTCGCATGTGGTTGGCGACTGCACCATCACCAGCTGTTCTAAACTTCCTCATTGGAAGTCACGAAAAAGCGGCTCTGAAGAAGGCGATACTGCAGAAACGTCAGCTAGCATTGTATCGTATTGTGTTCTTCTATGGAAGTAAATGTATGCTGTTTAAAAACGTTGCGATTGCTGAACAAGAAAACGACACATTCATATAATGATAATGTCCGGTGATAACAACTATAGAGAACTTCTCCCTTGGAAAGTTCTCTATCTATCTAAATAATAGTATTTGAAGTCCAAACATGGCCCTCTCGCACTCGCACATCAAACACCGCAATGTAACCTTTCTAATCTTCCCGATCAATTATGTTCAATGTTTCAGGCACTACAGCGATTCAAGTTTAATTACCCAAGTTTGAGGCTGGTAGATCAACTACAATAACTAAAAGACTCGCGTGGCTAATATTCTACATCAATCTGAACCGCTACACTTTTGCCGCTAACCAATTCGTTACATGGTGCATTGGCTGCTTGAAAGGACCTAACAACAGCAAGTTTCGCAGTTCAACTTTACAGCTACCACTTCAGCTTGGTACCGCTTTCGTGAGTTCTCAAATTTTAGTTCCACGAAATTCTCTTTTCCGCTTTATTTTACTATGACCAACTCTTTGCGAGTTCTAAAACGGCGTACCACGCATTACACTAGAAAGCTTGAGACCACATTAACGCGTCTCAAAGATGAGCAATTGGAAATGCTCAGCACATCATCCGCAAATGGAGAGATAACAGAATCCTTCATATGTGACAGCATTTACAAACTAAATGAAGGAGTTCTCACCATCGAAGGAGCTATCGCAAAGCTAAGCGAAGCACTAGTCCAGTACGAAACGAAGTCTTCAGAGCGCGATCTAACACTAGAGAGCGATGAAGGAACCGAAATACATTGCAGCAAAGCAGAGGAAATAACCGAGGCAGCTGAAGACTATTTAGTAAAACTCAGAAGTCGTATAAAAAGCTTTGAGTTTGCTAATACTTCACAAAGAAAGCTATCTACCCCAACAAGGGCACAAACAGACCTTCAAGCAGTCGAAGTTCCCCAAACTATAGCTACAGCAACACGTCTCGAACTACCCACACTCCCGATACCGGCTTTCAGTGGTAATATTTGGAAATGAGACAATTTCTGGGAGTTGTTCAAAGCAAACATACATTCCCAGAACATATCGGAATTATATAAATTCAATTACCTGCTTAATTCGCTACAAGGGGAAGCACTCGATGCGGTAAAGAAATTTCAACTCACTAAGGAGAACTATGCTAAAGCGGTTGAATTTCTTACTAAAAAATATGCAGACTCGAAAAAACTCATAATAACACTCATGGACAAACTTGACAACAGCCAGCTTCGTTCCACCACTGTGCACGATCAACGGAAACTATTCGAACATTTGCACTTAATACTAACACAGTTAAAAGTAAAAGGTGAAAATGTCGACAATCAATGTATGTTTAAGAAAGTATTGTCTAAATTCTCTAACAACATACAGCGCAAAGTCATCGAAAAGAAACTTGACGTCGTGACGAACAAAGATAAACCCTTCCAGATGGACCAACTCCTCCAATTTATTGAGGAAGTTATATACAAGGAGGAAAAAGTTTGGCAGTGCACGTCAAAGTACCAACCAATGTCAGGTACTATCAATAAACAAGACAATACAACCAGATCGTGGAACCTCGACACAAAGTACTGCTGCATGTACTGTAAAGCCGATCACAAATCGTTCAATTGCGACATGTACAAGACGCCATATGACCGCTCACAATACCTCCGAACAAACAAATTGTGCGCAATTTGCGCATCCCCATACCATGAGTCAACTAATTGCAAGAAGTCGTCTTGTTTCAAATGCCAGAGACGGCACCATACTTTATGTTGTTTTCAGTCGACCTCAAAAGAAAGCTTTCAGAATGGTTCTAAAAGCGAACCAAACAGAAACAAGGTCTTTAAGGACAGAAAACATAGCAACAAGGACATCGAGACGTACCAGCCGACGTCCAAAATCAACTACGTCAATCAACAACAAGAAGAACCTGCACAGCACGAGACCTCCGTCCTAAAAATTCAGGCTCAGGGTCAGCATCAGCAAAGTCACCAAACCTCCATTTTACCAACTGGAGAAATTACGGTGGTGAACACAACTACAGGGACACTTCAAAAAGTCGCAGTTTTGCTGGATTCTGGAGCTGATTTTTCTTTCATAGAAGCATCACTCGCAGCAGAATTGAATCTTCCTATCCTCCAAGAAACTGAACTACGCTTAAGCACTTTCGGATCCGAGGAAGCACGAGAAAAGCCGTCCAACAAAGTTTCCCTGAAAGCATGGGACGCCGAAGGTCGTCCGCTCTCTATGCTCCTATACACCCACGATAACTTGGTAAAGCCATTTGTTATCCCTCCAATTTCTAAGAAAGATACAGATTTTATTCAACAACGTCATCTTCCAGTAAAACTAACTCACACCGAACTAAAAATGAAACCCACTATACTATTAGGCTCTGACCAACTATGGTCCCTCGTTAAAGGCGACCAACCCCACATCATACTACCATCAGGTTTACATCTCTTACCGACTCGTCTAGGTCACCTCATAACAGGCAAGACCGACGAGCACTCTTATCTACTACCTAAAAAAGAAAATGAAACAAAAAATCACGAAAAATACACTACGGTATCAAGTCCAATCAATTTCACATATCACCCAATTTGGCAATTGGAGGACGAGGACGATAAAAAGTGGGAGAGATATCTCACACTACAATCTGCTGGAACCGAAGAATTCTCCAATTCCGAAAAAGATATAAGGATGCAAACTGACCAACAAGTGTGGGAGAAATTCAATCAGACCATCGAAGAACGATCCAACGGGTACTATGTACGCCTCCCCTGGAAGGAGTCAACCACTACTAAACTACCCGACAATAAAGCCATAGCTCTCAGTAGACTAAATAGTGTTTGGAGATCTCTACAAAATAATCGCGAATTAATGGAAGAATACAATAATATATTTGCCGAACAACTTCGCTTGAACATTCTAGAAGAAGTCGACGAAGAAGCAGTCATCAAAGACTCTCGACTCCATTATATTCCCCATCAAGCAATTCTAACTCCCAATAAAAACACTAAAATTAGAGTGGTTTATGACGCGTCCGCTCACCACAAAGGATGTCCGTCACTTAACAATCTCCTTCATCGAGGACCAGTGCTGCTTCCTGAACTGTTCGGCATTTTGCTACGCTTCAGATTTGGACGCTATGCTATAATCTCTGATATCGAAAAGGCCTTCTTACAGGTACGTCTTCATGAAATCGACCGTGATTCGACGCGCTGCTTGTGGTTACATGATCACACAAAACCACCTACTCCAAACAATATCAAAACTTTACGATTTACCCGCGTAATTTTTGGGTTAATCACCTCGCCTTTCCTGCTATCAGGAACAATCCTTTTCCATCTCGATAAATACAAAGACTGCATCCAACTCGTAACAGAAGTAAAAGAAAATTTGTACGTCGATAACCTTATTCTAACTGTTGATGACTCGCAAGAATCCTTCTACGTCTACTCACAGTCCAAGCGAATTTTCGACGAACTTAAGATGAATCTTTGTCAATTCGCTTCTAATGATACTGAATTGGTAGCATCAATTCCATCAAAGGACAAAGCGGACAAAGATATAATAAAAGTGTTAGGAATCCCTTGGAGTCCATCCACCGACTGCATTACGGTCACATGTAATCCCAAACAGCAATCACGGATTACCAAGAGAACAATTGCCAGTGTCATTGCTTCTATATATGATCCGTTAGGTTGGCTTCTGCCTCTACTTCATGNGAAAATATGTACGTCGATAACCTTATTCTAACTGTTGATGACTCGCAAGAATCCTTCTACGTCTACTCACAGTCCAAGCGAATTTTCGACGAACTTAAGATGAATCTTTGTCAATTCGCTTCTAATGATACTGAATTGGTAACATCAATTCCATCAAAGGACAGAGCGGACAAAGATATAATAAAAGTGTTAGGTATCCCTTGGAGTCCATCCACCGACTGCATTACGATCACATGTAATCCCAAACAGCAGTCACGGATTACCAAGAGAACAATTGCCAGTGTCATTGCTTCTATATATGATCCGTTAGGTTGGCTTCTGCCTCTACTTCATGGATCAAAAGTATTCCTTAGTGAGTTGTGGAAGGACAAGTACGACTGGGACACCCCGCTTCCGCAGCCTCGTGTAGAAGAATGGGCGCATATCGCATCAGAAATTCAGGGATTTGAAAAGAGTCTATCGCGGTGTTTAGGCTTAAAAAACAAAAAGTATACAATAGCAACGTTTGCTGATGCCAGCAATGACGCTATAGCCACTTGCTTATACCTACACTCAAACACTGCGCTTAATCTACTCATAGCAAAAAGCAAATTAACTTCAACAAAATCCAACGCAACTATTCCAAAAATGGAACTAGATGCAGCAACATTAGCTCTGCGCACAACTAACGCTGTTCTATCGCAGCTACGAAAAATAGTCAGGATAGACGATGTATTCATCTTCTCAGATTCCGAAATAGTATTAAATTGGATCAAACATAGACCTTTAAATAACGTTGGAACAAGAATATTTAATAGGCTAATAGAAATAGGGAAGATCACACAACACCTACAAAAAAACGGACACCGAATCAACTTCTGCTACATCTCATCACGAGATAACCCCGCAGACTGCGCAACACGAGGATTAAACCAGCAACAACTGAGTAATCATTTTTGGTGGACTGGTCCACCAACTCTTCAGCAACCCGTGGAAATATGGAGGAGTAAGCACAATTGTTTCCTCCTCGATGAAGAGACATCGCAAAAATGCACAGAATTCCATTCCAAAAAGGTCACGAAGTCAGATGACACGCAATTCTCCCAACAAGCGCAAATCCTTCTGACAAAGTCTGTTCCTCCAGACAAGAATTACGAAAAAGGAGTCTTTAGTTCTTTGCAAAGGTATTCATTACCGAATATCAAGAGAATTATAGCGTTAATTCCTCGCTATATTAAGGTTTCCGTATCTCGAGTAAACCACCGAGCAAAGAAGCCAATTAAACTTTCATCTTTACTGCAAAGCATAATATCAAACAGTGACTTCAATATTACCGGTCCAGAGATTACCCTGGCTGGGAAAATATTGGTTAGACAACATTAGCTTTCATTAATAACACCATCCATACTGCAGTCAATGAAGCATCCACATATCAAAACGGACACAGAAGGTTTACTTCGATGTTTTGGACGCTTTGGACGTAGTGAGTTAGACTCCGCTGCCCGAA